CTTTGGTTCTTTCGGTAAAGTCACGTAGAATGAGAATAAAATAATAAATTATTAAAATCAAATAACAATAAAATTCTCACGACGTTTCGGCCATAACACAAGTGGCCTTCGACAGGTCTGTTCCTTTCACTTGAAGAAGGCCACTTGTGTTGTGGCCGAAACGTGAGAATTTTATTGTGTTGTTTTATTAATTTATTATTTTATTCTCATTCTACGTGACTTTACCGAAAGAACCAAAGAAGATAATATGCATATTTTAAAGTTATTTAACACTGGTATATATTTGCGCACTTCACGCGGCAGTCGTTCTCGCTTCGATTTCTATTCGATTTTTGTGCATATGGCTGTTGTCATATGGATGAGCAACATCAACACTTCCAGATGAGACTCCTCCAGCCCCGGCGCCTTCGAGAGGCGCTCACCAAATAAGTTCGTCAACTCCACAACCACCGCTCCGAGCACATGCGTTGCAGCTCGCGCAGCGGGGCGTTCGGAAACACCAACCTCCAACTCGGAGGGCGGGGTTAGGAGTGAGAGGCGGGGGAGGGGCAAGCGTTGGGGGGTGCGTTAGGAAACTACAACCCCCCCCCTCTCCCTCCCCCGGCAGTTTCCATCATCAGCTGATGGCTCTCGGCGCCCTGCCGCCCTTAGTGAGTCGGAGTCGTCACCTCGTCACCCACCACCACCGCCGCCGCCGCGTATCGCCACAGCTCTAGTGGCCGTGTTCTCCGCACTTCACACAACGGGACGACCCCCCTCCTCCTACTGCTTCTATCATCATCATCGCCATCGACCAGCAGCAAGCGAGGTAGCAGAAGGCGCCGGGTGGCGGCTTCGAGCGCGCGCGCGCGTTGCGAGTGAGAGTGGTTTCTTTATCATCTCCTTGCGAGACTTTCCAGTTAATTTGTTTTATTTTAATTCTACCTACGTGACATTTCCCGAAAGAACCAAAGAGTATACAAAAAATGTTTTACTCCCGAACAAATCATCCCTTTCGCGCTACGAGTGCCGCTGCGCCAGACGAAGAATGAATGTGACTCTGTGTTCAGAGGGGCATCAACACAGAGCGACTTCTGAGCTCCCGGTTAAAGTGTGCTCTCGGATCCTCACAGTTTTATTCCGACAGACAGTATAGTAGCACTCTGGCTAACTGTGTTGTCTGTTGCGGCGTTGCTTTTTGTTCGGGAGTTGTGTTTTGTGTTGTTGTTTGACTTGCATCACGCCGGGAGATTTGCCGGTTTGTCCCAGGATGTTTTCTGTTGCGCGAAGTCGCTTTAAGATGTTTCTCTGTTCATGTTTTAGTTTGTTGCGGTTGCACCCGAACTCAAGAGCCGCATGGCTCGCAGGGCTATACCTAAATAAATGAAACTTTAAACTTTAAATATCTGGGTTTAAGAGAGAGAGGGGGGGGGTCCCACGTTCACAACGCGTGTGAACGTGCACGAGCCGACTCCACGCGGGATTCACTGCATCGAGGTGTGGTACAGTACTCTGGTGTACTCTGTGCACTGTACCCATTTAAGGCCGACTCGACCTAGGGGAGAAGCTTCGACTGCAGTTCGCTTCGCAGCGCGTGGCGCTCAACGCAGCGCCACCGCTATCCCAAAGACAAAGATGCCCCGTGTAGCCTCGACAGAGCGTAGGGACAAGTGCTGCTAGCGAGCACCTGTGAAGGCCGGCACGGCTCGCGATGGGGGTGTGGGTGGTCAGCAACCACGCCCGGCCGCCTTTGTCTCCCCAGCGGCGAGGTTTAAAACACATCGCACCCGGTACTCATTTGAGGCCGAGTCGACCTAGGGGGGGGGACCGGTTCAGATAATTCGATTACCGGTGTGGAGGCCGTGAGCGTGAATCGAACCCGGGTCGCCGAGTTGTAAAGCGCAGCGCTCTAACCCGCAACCTTACACACACAGCACGCACACTACAGCTTCTTACACACACTACAGCTCCTTACACACACACAGCACGCACACACTACAGCTTCTTACACACACTACAGCTCCTTACACACACTACAGCTCCTTACACTCACTACAGCTCCTTAAAAACACTACAGCTCCTTACACTCACTACAGCTCCTTACACACACACTACAGCTCCTTACACACACTACAGCTCCTTACACACACTACAGCTCCTTACACACACTACAGCTCCTTACACACACTACAGCTCCTTACACACAGCACGCACACACTACAGCTCCTTACACTCACTACAGCTCCTTACACACTCTACAGCTCCTTACACACACTACAGCTCCTTACACTCACTACAGCTCCTTACACACACTACAGCTCCTTACACACACTACAGCTCCTTACACACACAGCACACACACACTACAGCTCCTTACACACACTACAGCTCCTTACACACACTACAGCTCCTTACACACACTACAGCTCCTTACACACACAGCACGCACACACTACACCTCCTTACACACACACTACAGCTCCTTACACACACTCCAGCTCCTTACACTCACTACAGCTCCTTACACACACTACAGCTCCTTACACACACTACAGCTCCTTACACACACTACAGCTCCTTACACTCACTACAGCTCCTTAAAAACACTACAGCTCCTTACACTCACTACAGCTCCTTACACACACTACAGCTCCTTACACACACTACAGCTCCTTACACACACTACAGCTCCTTACACACACTACAGCTCCTTACACATAGCACGCACTCACTACAGCTCCTTACACACACTACAGCTCCTTACACACACTACAGCTCCTTACACACACTACAGCTCCTTACACACACAGCACACACACACTACAGCTCCTTACACACACTACAGCTCCTTACACACACTACAGCTCCTTACACACACTACAGCTCCTTACACACACAGCACTCACACACTACACCTCCTTACACACACACTACAGCTCCTTACACACACTCCAGCTCCTTACACTCACTACAGCTCCTTACACACACTACAGCTCCTTACACACACTATAGCTCCTTACACTCACTACAGCTCCTTAAAAACACTACAGCTCCTTACACTCACTACAGCTCCTTACACACACACTACAGCTCCTTACACACACTACAGCTCCTTACACACACTACAGCTCCTTACACACACTACAGCTCCTTACACACAGCACGCACACACTACAGGTCCTTACACTCACTACAGCTCCTTACACACACTACAGCTCCTTACACACACACTACAGCTCCTTACACACACTACAGCTCCTTACACACACTACAGCTCCTTACACACACTACAGCTCCTTACACACACTACAGCTCCTTACACACAGCACGCACACACTACAGGTCCTTACACTCACTACAGCTCCTTACACACTCTACAGCTCCTTACACACACTACAGCTCCTTACACTCACTACAGCTCCTTACACACTCTACAGCTCCTTACACTCACTACAGCTCCTTACACTCACTACAGCTCCTTACACACTCTACAGCTCCTTACACACACTACAGCTCCTTACACTCACTACAGCTCCTTACACACACTACAGCTCCTTACACACACTACAGCTCCTTACACTCACTACAGCTCTTTACACACACAGCACACACACACTACAGCTCCTTACACACACTACAGCTCCTTACACACACTACAGCTCCTTACACACACTACAGCTCCTTACACACACTACAGCTCCTTACACTCACTACAGCTCCTTACACACACTACAGCTCCTTACACACACTACAGCTCCTTACACTCACTACAGCTCTTTACACACACAGCACACACACACTACAGCTCCTTACACACACTACAGCTCCTTACACACACTACAGCTCCTTACACACACACTACAGCTCCTTACACACACTACAGCTCCTTACACACACTACAGCTCCTTACACACACACTACAGCTCCTTACACTCGAGCTCCTTACACACACACTACAGCTCCTTACACTCCAGCTCCTTACACACACTACAACTCCTTACACTCCAGCTCCTTACACACACTACAGCTCCTTACACACAGCACGCACACACTACAGCTCCTTACACACACTACAGCTCCTTACACACACTACAGCTCCTTACACACTACAGCTCCTTACACACTACAGCTCCACACACACTACAGCTCCACACACACTACAGCTCCACACACACTACAGCTCCACACACACTACAGCTCCACACACACAGAGCACGCACACACGCGGCGGGGTGCTCGGTAGTAGTCGGGACTGCGGTGTTTTGGTCTGGGACGTGACAACAATCCGTCTCCGTCTCTCACTCCGTCTCCGTCTCTCACTCCGTCTCTCACTCCGTCTCTGTCTCTCACTCCGTCTCTGTCTCTCCCTCTCACTCCGTTTCTCACTCTCACTCCGTTTCTCACTCCGTCTCTCACTCTGTCTCTCACTCCGTCTCCGTCTCTCCCTCTCACTCCGTCTCTCACTCTGTCTCTCACTCCGTCTCCGTCTCTCCTCTCACCCTCCTCTCGTCTCTCCCTCTCACTCCGTCTCTCCTCTCACTCCGTCTCCGTCTCTCCCTCTCACTCCTCCGTCTTCGTCTCTCACTCCGTCTCTGTCTCTCCCTCTCACTCCGTCTCCGTCTCTCCCTCTCTCTCCGTCTCTCCCTCTCACTCCGTCTCTGTCTCTCCCTCTCACTCCGTCTCCGTCTCTCCCTCTCACTCCGTCTCTGTCTCTCCCTCTCACTCCGTCTCCGTCTCTCCCTCTCTCTCCGTCTCTCCCTCTCACTCCGTCTCCGTCTCTCCCTCTCACTCCGTCTCCGTCTCTCCCTCTCACTCCGTCTCTCCCTCTCCTCTGTCTCTCCCTCCCCTCTCCTCCCACAGACGCAGCCCTCTCCGGACTCTCCTATTACCCCCCCCTTACCCTCCTGTGCTGCTCCACAATCTGCCGGTCGTACACCGAGTCAGGAGTCCATCTACGCCCGGTTCGGCCGCTCCGCCGCTGACCCCCGGCGTTTCCCCGCTTGCGCACGCGGGGGGGGGGGGGCCTGGCGGTGGGTGTTGGGTTTGTGGAGGGGGAAAAGACGAAGACGACGACGAGGAGGTGGTGGAGGAGGAGGGAGGCGAAGATCGAAGATGAACCGCCTCGGCATGCTGCTCGACGTGCAGACGCGCATCCGCACGGAGCCCTTCGCCAGCTTCTACACCGTGGTGGGCAACGAGCTGGGCAGGTTGGTGACGAGTGGTGCTGGTGGTGGTGACGGATGGGTGGTGATGGTGATGTTGATGATTCGTCCGGTTGGCTACGTACGGCGCGAAAGAAGTTAAACGTATTTTATTGTCATCAATATAATTAGCATTATTATTGTTAACGTTACTGCGACCACCGCTATCGTCGTAATCACAACTTTTACATGATCATAATCATAACTACCGCCACCACTTTATCATTATTACTACCACCATCATCATCTTCACTGCCACCACTATTGTCATCACGATCATTAATTACTATGCTCATCAATAATCTCACCATCATCATAATGACTACCACTAACTAGTTTGTTCTTGCCCCGCATCTCCCGATTAGCACGGTTGGCTACGTACGGTGCGAACGAAGTTAAACATACACAGACTACCATCGTAATCATTACTATACCATCATCATCACACCACTATCCCCTCCGTCCTACTACTCATCTTTTCTTTAGACTGAACGTTCTATCAGTGTTCATGTGTTCGTACGCTACTGCCAAGGTCGACACGCAGCTGCTCCGGATTTCCGTTACGTTGTCCACTTTACTCGTTACCCAAAACATACTTGTTTGTTGAGTCTGCGGATGTGTGGGACTCAAATTATTGGGGTTGGTGGTTCGGCAACTCTCCAGGTGTTTGGTGTCAAACCTGCAGTGGGAGACAGCCAGTCACTCCACGCCTCCCTGGGTGTGTTTCTGTCCGTCCCACCGTGTTGTCTCGATTACATGTCAAAATAAACTCACTGGAAAATAAAACAGCCTGTAAGACACAGCTATCTATGTAATCGGGTGGCACGTAGCTACGACTGCCAACTTGGGAACTATGTCTCTTCCTCACGGGTACCCTCACTTCAATGACTCGTATTTCTGAGTGGAAAATTGAGCAGTTGCTTATTGGCAGCAGTGAGTCAAAATGTTGTTTTTTTATTGCTGTCAGGAGTTCACAAGCTGCTACTGTAACAAAGCTTTAAATTTGAATGCAGGCTCCCATTTTGTAATTTTCTTTTTGAGATACTTAACCCAGTGGCAGCGTTGCTCCAAACGCATCCCTGTTGCGGCTTGTATTTTTTCGCTTAGACATTATGCTTGAGTACTACTGCGAGTGTGCGTGCGCACACCCACAAGCAACATTCTGCAAATCATTACAATCCAGTCACCGTGACACATTCCAACTTTGAATTTAGCTAAAACGTGATGCCTGACACAGCTAATGAAATCACTGTTTTAATGAGTAACCAATTACTAAAATTGAGACGTGCTCACGCATACATAGTAGCGAGTTGTTGCGAGGAAGCGGGAACATTTTTTTGGTATCCATTCTGCGGACTCCCTTCCCCCTGTTCAAGTGTTCGCTCTGAGCCATTTCTCCTCTCTTCTGCCTCTGACTGACCGACGTAATGTCAAAATGTTAACTAGATCTAGTCTCTAGATATCACTCTCCCCCGTTTGCTCGTTGGCATTTGAGTGATCGTACGTACATTTACATACAATGGCGTTGCATTAATAATGTCCTCATGTGTTTCTTTAGAGGCCCATTTCTAATCGTCATTAAACCTATTCTAGTGAATCCCCTCGAGAGTGAACTTTCTTCCATGTCTGCGAGTGGTTTGTTATAACGTGGTATATCGAACGTAGATCGTATTATCCTGATGTTACAGACAGACTGGACACCACTCAAAGTGACTCTAGAGACAGTCGTGTTTGTAAATGACCATTATCAGTAATTAAAAGGGATATTTGTGATAACTGTGTGCTACTACAACTACTACGTTTTTTTTACTTTACAATTTAATACGGAACGTTGTATCTTCATTCACTATCCTTGGGGTCACTTGTATGGAAAGTGGTGGCCTCTCCCATTTAGCAAGACCTGCTTACCACAAGGAAGCCCCCTGTGCCTGTAACCCCCACCAAGTGGGAGGAACACTCGGATTAGGGCAAGGAAAGTTATTTTACCAGTTTACAACTTTTTACCAGTGAAAAGTGGCTGGAAACTGTTTGAGCAGGCACCCACTTGGGTCCCCACAAAACCCATCCCTTGTTCCTTAGCCCATTTCACGAGTTCATAAGAAGGTACTGTGTTAAATGTATAGTCTGTGAGTGCCATATGTACTGGTTGTACGGGTACATTTTCTACTGATTTTCAACTAATTTTTTGAGAAATGCTTTTTGTGTTTAGTTGTCCTTCCCCCGCACCTCCGATTAGCACGGTTGGCTACGTACGGCGTGAAAGAAGTTCAACATACAAATATTTCGCCTTACTCGTTGGAGAGTATATGGATGCAATAAGAGAAATCGGCTAAAGAACCACAATGTCCTCCTCTCAGCGTGAGTAGTGGGGGGCACACATTGTGTTATTGGGGAAAGGGTGAGGTGACAGGCGAACCTAGTATTTTTGGGCCACAGCTCAGCTCCTGGAGCTGTCACGCTCGTGTATATATATGTTTTTCTTCATCTTCCCAGACAACATTTCTGGAAGCTAATGCACGTTAACTGACCCACAGGACTGCAGCGGAAAAGGTCATTGTTTAAAGAAAAAATAGGAATGGTAGGATTTGCTGAGATGGGGCAGTAATGATGGCGATGCCATTTTTCGTGTGGCGAGTGTTTGTTGGGGAGCATTGGTGCAATAGTGAGTGCACTGCACTACAAACCTATGACCTGAGTTGTTTCCCAACCATCACAAATATCGTGGGAACGTGGTATATGAATCGGTCCTGGGCCACCCTTAGGTAAACTTGGCCTTAAATGGGTACCTGGTGCAATGCATAACAATCAATATTGGAGAGACAAAAGGTGGCCGGGTCTGGTCCTGGACCACACCACTCCTTTCCGTGCCAGCCTCTATATAGATATTCTCTAACAGCCTGTGCCCCAACAGCAAGTGAAAATTGTCTGTTTGGATGGGTTGCAGTTTACTCCTGCTCTTGCCTTCGGCACCAGAAACTGGAACACGTGTGCTTAATCTCATGCACCACCTTTACCAGTGCCACACTGGACACAACTAAACATGATTCACGAACGTGTTGTAAATGTCCCTTTTGTGCAGACTGGTTCCTACCCAGTGAAGTAATGGCACATGCCCCTCACTGTATCTGATTTACAGGCTGTTGTGGGTGGCAAACGAAATTAAGTGGATATGGGCATGATTTAATGCTGTATGTCAAAATGGTATGCTGATGCCATGCGTTGAGCTTGCCACTATGGCTTTCATTGTTTTTTCTGGCCATTTGTCTTCAGTGGTTTTGTGTTCTCGTCAAATGAATCTCCTGACCCTTGCTAAGCGGAGATCAGAAAATAAGAGAATTTACTGGCTCTGAAGCAACAGAACGATTTCGTTAACCTTTTGCTATCCCCAGTAGGGGGGGTCCTTGCCTCATTTACAATGTGCATTACAGATGTGGTGGGTGTACTCGAGTTATAGAACATTAAAGTTGGAGGCAACTTTAAGCAGTTCCATGTGTCATCTCCCAGAGGGACTATTAATCATCTCGTGACAGCAGTGCAGTTATGTTTGCACGGTGTACATTTATGCCGCAGCACATAAATCCAGTAAATCTGCAGTTGAGAGTAATCGTAGTAAATTTTACCCTAAATGTCAACATTCATCAAGTACAACTGGAGCTTAAAAGAAAGGCAGGAATTTAAATAAATATGGCATGTGCTCATCTGCGCAATTATTCCTGCCAAGTTTGAAAACAACCTAAAACAAAGGTATTATTTTTGTGAAGGCATGTTTTTAGAGGGTCTTGGAGACGTGATGGTCCCAGGATATAACTTTGGTGTTCCTGCTTCCACCGTGCATCCTGACCCCCGCCCCCGACCCCCCGACTCACCTCCCCCCCCCCTCATCAATCTATCCCCTGTGACCACGAGCAGCGCAGACTGCCGTTGCTGTGCAGCAGCAGTGCCTGTGGCAGTGACGAAAGGTGGGATTGGTGTGCAGTGCCTCTAAATGAGTGCCCCCTCCCGCTCGGCATTCTGCTCGCATCCTCCTGCCCACCCATACCACCCGTCTGGCCAGCCAGCCAGCCCAACAATTCCTGCGGCCCTTGAGCTCCCACAGCTCATGACAGGACGTTGAAAACAAAACTGCTCAAATTGGCGGCAGAGGAGGAGTGGTGGCGGCGGGTGGTAGTGGCGGCGGTGAGATAATTGCAATGATTGTGCAGGCTCATTGGGCAAAGCAAATTAGAGAGATGCGTGCCTCTGCCCTCGTGTTTGCGTGTATCCCGTTGGGGGTGGGGACGGTTTTTAGAGTGGACAAGTGCGGGAGTGTGGATATTATTGTCGAGGCGTGTGGCAGCCTGGCAGAGGAGTGCGGAGCTGGAGGTGCTTTTGTAGTTTCGATGGGGCATGCACACAGGCACAATCAAGTCGAGGGCCTAAGGGAAGTGGGAAAGCAACGAAGCACGGGGGGGCAATCGGTAACCCCGTTGTGTTGTGTGCAGATATCAAACCCAGGTTGCGGTGACTGCATTTGTGGTGGTCCACCGTGTCACTCTGCTGATAAAAGTATCAATGGAGGCGATTGATGGTGCAAAGCCTGGCTCTGTTGACACTACGAGGGCTATGAACCTAGAGGGTAAATGTAAACTTTTCTAGTCCTTTAAAGTACATTCCAAGCTCAGGTCACTTAGAATACACACTTCAATGTACACTGCCAAAGGACAAATACAGTTCACCTACAGTTAGATTTATGCTATGTAAACTGATGTTTTGAAAGGCTCCTGGTGAATTCTATACGTATATATTGTGTGTAAAGAATGCTGGTTTGGACATTTAGAACACAGTAGAAAATGTAGTCTTTATCGACCAAACAGGTACGTTGGATTATAATGTGCAAATTTGCAATCCTACACTGCTCTCTTATTGTGTTTAGGCAGTGAGTTTCTCTTTTTTGTGAAGTTACATCCAGATGCAAATTCGACGATTGTAAGTTTTCGAGGCGCATTATAAGTGTATCATAAATTATTTTGGAACTAGTGGTGTTGCGGATTTCTGGGAATATGCCTGCTGCCCACAATACCCACACACATATGCAGTTAGCGCCTCTAAATGGTGTAATTAGCCATGCTCCTCGGCTGGCCCTCTCCCTCCTATAATCACTTAATGATGCCACTCATCACATGATGTCATCCTGACATTTGCATGGCTGGGAAGTGATTGTTCGGATCTCAGGTGCACGCTGATACATCGCCTCCTAGCGTAAGTAATAATGATGAATAATAATTTACAGCCCTTTGTCAGAACTCTTATATGAAAGCCGCCTCATGTCGACACAGTTGTGGGGGTTGCTTGACCACGCGGAGCGGTTTGGTGAAGTGACGGTGGAGTGGGGGGGAAGTTGCAGAACCAGTCAAGATATCACTCACCACTGACGTTAGCTCTGACCGGGAATATAACTTAGGTCATCGGATTTACAGCACACCACCGCACGACGCCTTGCATCAGTGGTTCCACGGAAATAAAACACGACAAATGACGCAACACGCCAATGGATGAGTGTCATGTGGCGGACATGCAATGCATACTGCCACGGACACCGTGCGTACCATTGACTGTACTCGTATACGCGCACCATGTATTGTATGTGTAATGACAGGGTGACACCTGCTGGCCAGGAAAGGGAATCACGGGTACGGGCACGGTTAAATTAACAACCAATCGGAGAAGGAGAGGTATCTGGGGCAAAGGTAACAGGAGGGGTTTGCCGAGATACTCCAGGAACCTGCTCGAAGGTTCTACGAGAAGGGCGTGGCCGGAGGCGGGGCCTAGCCACGCCCGGGGGGGATATAAGGGGGAGCAGACCCGGGGCTCGTGTGTGGGGTCATGGGTCCTGGCTGCGTCGCTGCTCTCCGACATCTCTCTTCGTCGTCTGGCCACGTGGAAGACCTCCTGCGTGGTTTCCATCGCCGTCATCGTCACGCCGGCCCAGCCAGCGGCGTGGCCGATGTGAGGGCGATGGAACCACGCCGAGTGATCGGCTGTGTGTAGCCAGTAGAGCCGTTAATATCTAAGTCAGTTTAACACTTAGGTTTGAGTAGAGTGATTGGGTTCAGTTATTAAATAATACACATTATAACTAATTACTAATCTACAACTGATTACTAATCATAACAATTAACTTATTACTAATCTATTATACAATACCCCACCCCTCTCCCGCCTCTGATCTCTGCACCTGATTGGGTTAAATGATGACGTCACCCTGCTGCTCTATTTAAGACCGGGAGCAGGTGGAGGGCTTTCACTATTCTGGCAAATTGCCCGATGATGCTGGATGTAATTACCAATATAGTGCCCTCGTCCACAGCAGTCCTGATTCTCTCACCTGAAGACGGTCCGCTTGTTGTTGCGATCGCAACGTCGTGATCTATTATTTTTTCTGCTACGTGACTTTACCGAAAGAACCAAAGAGTATTTGTTCTTTTGTCAACGTGACACATTTTTCACTGATTGACCGTGTCGGGTGGTGGAGGGTTGCGACACATTTATAAATAACGCGATCTAACCCAAAAAACCTTTATATGAAGTTGTTTGTACTCGGAGTGAGAAGAATAAGGGTTGGCCTGTGTTGTGCCCAGTGTGAGAAATAAAAAGAAGTACCTAAGTACCTGAACACTTAACATATATTTGTCTGTGCACCATGAAAGTGCGGTTAAACTGTTTCGGAACAACGTATTTGGGTGCTGCGGTGGCGAGATGTTAACTACCTCGCCTGGTATGCTAGAAAGTCGCGGGTTTGATCCTGACCCTAATGCCTGTAAATTTGAGTTTCCATGTTCTCCCTGTGGTCACTGGCGGAGCCAGTGGGGGGTGAGGGGGGTGGCACGTGCCACCCCCCCCCCCCCCCCCCCCCCCCCCCACATTTCGATCAGATCATTGGGGTTTATTAGTAATACATTGGCATTTTGCGACCCCCACTGCCACTGTGTAGCATATTATTACGTGCCAGGGACTCTATGAGATGATAGGACTATAGTCTGAGTCCATAATTGGCAATAAGTAACGGCAAAGTAGTTATAAGTGACTCACAGAATTGTGCGCAGTTGCGTATACAGTCCACGACTTCCCTGCAGGCATTCACCTTCAGCGAGCGCGATGCCGATCACACCACGCGGTTCGAATCCGACCCTCGATCGATGGCTGCGCCATCGCCGCACACGCGCCGAATAAAAAGCAAGGGACATGTCCTTACTAACAACTCCTCCATCATTTTTCATTGCTGGAGGGGTTGCCCCCCCACCTGAAAATCCTGGCTCCGCCATTGCCTGTGGTTGCGTGGATTTTTCTCCGGATCCTCCGGTTTTTCCCTCCACATTTAGAAACAAGCGTTTAGAGTATTTGGCTAATATTAATTTCCACATGATAAGCCACTTCGTTGAGCTATCATTTGTAACCAGGTGCTTCTGAAAAAAACTATATAGCTTAGTGAGCCTTATCTGGTAAAATAAAAAAACCTGTAGTTTAGTGCTAACCCGTCTCCCCCCTTAGACTGTTAGTGAAACCTCGTGACTTTACGCCAATTGTAGGTGCACGTTCCATTGCACGGCTTGCCAAATGTTCAATTTTGACAAATTTTGTTGGGTGAAAATGTGTCGCTGTCTCCATCATCGTAAATGGGACATTGCCTGGATGAGGTGGTTCGGTTGTTTTTACCAGATGGTGAATGCAGCTCCTAACATTATTTGATACACTAGATAAACATTGATTCCTGGAGGATACCATTTAACAAGTGCTGTGTAGGTATTTGCCCTAGGGCACGTGCTGTTGGGACTCATTTCTCCGATACGCGGGCAGCGTGCAGCGTTTCGCCTATTTGTATTTTTAAATGGTCCCCAAAGCAGAGCTCTGCTACATTTAGAACTTCTAAGTCCCAACACATTATTTTAATGTGTTGCACATGTGTGGACATTGCCACTTTTGAAAAGCTAACAATGAGATTTCGCCTGTTGGCAAATTGTCCGTCGTGGCTGAACTCAGGATTTTTTTTTTGTTACCAGCGCTTCCCTCTCCACCCCCAGCTGGGGGATAAGTCAATTGTGTCTCAGAAATTGTACTTGTGCATCGCCCTTCCTGCCTTAGGTATGCGTAGGCTTCCTTTGAGCATTCGTGTTTCAAAACATAACAACAACAAAAGAGTCGGTAAATGAATTGTCCAATACCTCACAAGTACAACCCCTCCTCAAGACGTCTCTTGAAGACTCGAGGCTTTTTCACAAAAATTACGCTGATTATTTATCATTAGTTTTTCACAATACGTTGAATGCTCCCTAGGAGTTGAATTGGCAATCATTGAAAATGGATGCTATTTTAATTCAATGCATAATGGCATGCATTGAATAGTGTGTGTAACAAATTATAAATATTTTTTTATTTATGTCTTATGTCATGAGTCCACTTCAGCCTTGCAGCCAATAGAGGTGCTACCATTCACCACGGTGTTCAAATATGATGAACAAATCAAACCAAAAACCATAAATTGCCACAATTAATCGAATCGCCAATAATTGTTGCAGTTGTGAAGAAATCCCCCACTATACCGCCCCTGTGTGACCCGGCATTGTGCGTCTGCGGTGCTTGCCCGTCTCCCCAGGGGCAAATTCGCGGTGGTGCGGCGCTGCGTCGAAGTGGCCACGGGAATCGAGTTTGCCGCCAAGTTCCTCCGCAAGCGGCGCAAGGGGCAGGACTGCCGGGCCGACGTGACCCATGAGATGGCGATACTGGAGGCGGCGCGCAGCTGCCCACACATCATCGACCTGCACGATGCCTTCGAGACGCCCCACCGAGATCATCCTCGTGCTCGAGTAGTGAGTCGCTCATACGACGACCGCCAGCTTTCCGGAGCCCGTGTCCAAGCGTTGGGGGCATTTTCCCATATTTCAACAGGCGTCGGCCATGCCCGCTTTTTGCGCAAGTCTCACGGGACGTCCCAACTCTTGGGAGATCTTGGCATAGGTTTCTCACATTTTTGTGGGAAATTAAGAGGTGTTCTTCAGGAATACTTTGTACAGTATTTGTTTCCTTCAGATAAGTTACATTCTTTGGTATACTCTTTGGGTCTTTCGGTAAAGTCACGTAGATAGAAAAATAATCGAATTTAAAAAAATCACGACGTTTCGATCGCAACACAAGCAATCGTCTTCAGGTGAAACAATACAGCAGGCGGACTGCTGAGGCAGGCAGAAATATCGCGAGAGAGCTACTGCAGCCAAAGGTTACATAGGTTTGAGATGGGTACAACCTAAGGGGTAAGTGGGCGGGGCTAGAGATGGAATTTGCAAGTAAATGTAAGATCGCAGAGCTAGGTATACCTCGGCCATTGTGTTGCTAGAGATTAGCATGTCAATCTGTTAATGTAATCCCACGGCTACGGTGCTGAAGAAGCCATTGTATTGCTCGAGATTAGAGATGAGCATGTCAATGTGAGACGGCTCCTGCAGCAGTGGCTGTGTTAATGAGACATTCAGCTTATTAAACAACGAGCGTCACCGCCGCATCGAGGAAAAGGGAGCAGCAGCTTTGTTAGTGAGACATTTAGCATGTTAATTTAAAACATTTAACAAGGTAATGTAACTCAGAGAGTCGGAAGAAACTGCTAACATAGGCAGGTAGGATAGAAGCATCACAGCCAGTTATGACTTTTCCTGGTTAATAACGTCCTTCCAATGATTGCTCAGTTTGTACCCATCTTCTCGGTTGAAATTGTGTCTGTTTATATATCTGGATGGCTTCATGAACAAATCTTTGTTGATAGCCAGTGGGTTTGCATAGTACCTTCGTCTTGGAGAACTCAATTTCATGTCTGCCCACAGTGTTAAAACAATGATCAGCCACGGCAGAGGTGTTGGTCCTACCGTGTTTCAGATCTGCCTTATGTTCACGAACACGGTCTGAGACGTGTCGCTTAGTTTCCCCAATGTAACTACCGCCGCAGGCACAGCTTAGTTTGTAGACACCGGGGTATTGCATGTTAGGGATCACATCCTTCACAGATGGGAACCGATCACGAATTTTATGTACTGTTTTGAATCGGACCTGGATCTTGTGTTTGCTCATAATTTTGGAAATATTTTTGGTGACCCCTGCTGTGTATGGCAAGGTGATGGTTCTGATTGGGTCCTCAGGTGGTTCTCTCCCAACGGTTGGGGTGACAGCTTTACGGATTGTGCAATCCGAATATCCATTCATCTTGAGGGCTTGGTGTACGTGCTCCAGTTCACTGGCTAGGTGGTGATGGTCGGAAATGCAACGAGCGCTATGGTGTAGAGTTTTGATGAGGCAATTTTTTCTGGGCTGGATGGTGGTGGGAGTCATGTTTTAGATAAACATCCAAGAATGGTAACTTGCCATCCTTTTCCACCTCCATGGTGAATTTGATGGCTGGGTGTATGGAATTGATGTGGTTGAAGAATTGGTTCAGAGCTGGCAGGCCATGTGGCCAGATGACGGACGTGTTATCTACGTTTCTCTTCCACAAGGAAGGATGTAGGATGGATGTCTGTATGGCATCTGTCTCAAAATTTTCCATGAAAACATTGGCTACCACTGGAGATAAAGGAGAACCCATTGGGGTACCTTCAACTTTTATAATTTTTCTATCTATGTGACTTTACCGAAAGACCCAAAGAGTATGACTTCCTGCAGTCACGAAAGCTTTAGGTCAATATTCTTTGGTATTTTACAGGCTTTCCGCATGCTCACTGCATGCTGCACAGGCATATTTGATGTGTGCTTCCAACCACTTTTTCTGAACTGCTTAACAGTCTAAGTTTCATAGGAAATAAAATGAAATGTGTTCCGTAATGAAATCTGGGCGAATTTTGTAGGCATTTAATTGGCGTCTTCCAGACCGCTCGCAAATGCCGAGTTGGATTACACCATATGCTCGGCTCCTTCAGTATCGTGTATTGAGCGGGTAAAATAGTGGCACACAGATGGCATGTGCAGTTGGCGGGCTCGTGGCTGAAATGGTCTTAAGACGTGGAAGGATTTTTTTCGTTGTCCTTTTGTGATTTATCAAAGCCACGTGCTGAAAAGCGACGTGCGCACTTCTGTTTCCTTGGCTTTGGGTCTGCCGCCTATTTCAAAAATGTTTTAAAATTAAACGAGCGCATATTATATATATCTACTGCCATGGCATAAAGTCTCAAAAAAGCCTTTTCCTCCAATTTGACCATAATTAAATGGCAACTGAGCAAACTCATTATGTTTGCTCATGGGCCCATTAAATCTCACTGGGCATGAATCATTCGAGATATTGTGGCCTCTGAGGCTGTAAATGTGGTATATATTTTTATGTCCTCATCCATCTTCTGGGAAGAGGGAATTATTATAGTGTGCCTGTGCGGAACCTTCACACAGCTCATGTGGAAAAATTTGAAGTAATATAAAACGCAGCAACAAATACACAGGAGCTTCGAGTGTGAGTTGGTGCTGTTGTTAGTGCTGTTTTTTCATTACTACTACCTTCTGATGGAACGATGATTAGCAAACACACTGAGCTACGATCCTTGCAACCAACATTTTGGGCATTCATATCCGTAACAAATAGTATCTGATAATAATTTACACTTATAAAACACCTTTCACCCAGAGGTCGCAAGGCGCTGCATAGAGCTAAAAGCAAGTAAATAACTCGCGCAATTCTAAAACCTAATAAAAGCACGCAGGCTCATGATGTAACCACAGATACAAATACCCCCCCTCCCACACTCCCGAAACACATAACCAAATTAATCAGGAGAAAGGGCCTTTAAGACAAAAAATGTCTTAAGGCGAGATTTAATTCAACTGAGGGACTCAGCAGATCGAATATTCGATGGCAGTGAATTCCATAACGTGGGGGCAACATGAGAAAAGGCCCCCCCGGGTCACCTATTGCACGGAGGTGCGACCTCGGCACACACAAATAACCAACACTCAAGACGACCGAAGAACTTGCGTTGGAATACAATTAATATCTGGGTGCGGAGTGTCACATACAGCAATGAAGGTGGTTGTGTGCATGCATGTTACTGGTCACTGCAATGCCTTATATGGGGTCTGCTGACCTCAATAGGTGCTCTCTAACAGCACTAGTCCCCGCCGGAATCTATTGGATTAAACGGAGGATTTTGGTCATTATTCCGCACTCGTCCATCATCACCAAACATTTGCTGGCCAAAGTCCCAAAACGCTCGCATTCGAAAGCACGCAGCTTCGCCTATGTCTCTGCCAATCGTAACAATGGGTGTCGGCGGGAGCCGACGTTGTCTGCGTTGGCGGGGTCACCCTCTCTCTCGCTCGTGAGGCGAGGCTCGTAAAGCGATCGCTAACAGCAGCAGACCCTGGCGGTGGCCCTGCTCCAGGAAGGCTGCCACAGCTGCAGGACGACCTCTCGTTTTTCCTCATAACGCTGGCCTGTGTTGTTATCTTACTCGTCTGTATTATGAATATTAGTATTAACTTAGCAGCGGACAGACGTGGATAAACGTTTGCTTTGTGCACCTATCCGTCATTTTTATTGGATCTTAAGAGTAACGCGTACACACGCACTGTGCGTGGGTGGGCACGACGCACAAAGATTACTAACTGGCTGCCTTCAGGAAGAATGCTATTTTATAAGGTCAAGTGGAAAGTTATTTGGTGCTAAAATGGGCATTGAGGCGCTGCTCATCTTCCATTTCAGCCATGAGCCAGTGGTGGAAATTCAATGTTCCCATGGCAGGGGCGATATGCTACAAAGGATAAGCACTGTTACATTTCCCATAAAGTATTACTCATATTGTCAACCCCAAAGGGATGATGAGCCGAGTCAATCACAATCAGGGTTTGAATTCACAGCCTTCCAATTGAGGCACCTGGCCATTTTACAGTACATATTTCTAATACACTATATACAGTGTATATTTGTGTATGCATGCACACATTGCAATATATTATGCTATTTTTGCAAGATTGTTAAGTTAAAATACTCTCTTTAGAATAATTTACATGCTATATGAGATTAAGATAGTAATGTATTTATGATCATCAAATAATCAACATTTTTATTTACTGCATGTGTGCCACACAAGCATGTGTGCCACACAACTTAATGACTGCACACATTTAGAGAGCACACACTATTTTGCTATGTCTATATACGTTAGTTTATCACTTTTTTGGGGTCTTTCTCAATTGATCTCAATTTTGCTGTCAGAATCATGGCACGGGATGAAGAATCCATGTGGAAGTCTCAGAGCAGCGGTGCCCAATTTGTCAAAGAACGGTGTATGGAACGACCCTACAATTGTCCTTTTTACTCTTTACATACTCAGCACACCCACAAAACACTGGGTGTGCTTTGAGATTTGTTTGTTGCATGGCAGAGCTGACATTTTGCCAAGAGAATGCAAACTACAATTAATATTCTTGACATTTGTGCAGTCATTGGTCACGTGGCTGAGACGATCAAACTGGCCACACTTGAAACTCTGTTTAAAACAATCAGATTTGAACCTACAATGTCAGCGGTGGTGGCTTGGCACTCTGTCCTCTGGGGTGACCCTGGCCACCGTATGTACCCACCTATTTAGAGAATGCACTGTGAGGCGCGTGCTCTGCTGTACTATGTGAATGAAGAGCAACACCCTTCATGCTCCAGGTTGCCCGTACGATGAATTTCAGTATTCGCGTAGATTTTTGTTCCTGATGCCCCGTCGGGTCGTTCAAATAAACACGGGCAGGAGTGATAATCCTAAGTGCCGAATCACGCAATGGTAGGAATTCTGGTCATAGGCAAGTGTATATTGCGTGCCCTGTGCATTTATATATGTACTTTGAACTTATTTCGCACTGCATGTAGCCAGCCATGCTAATCGGAGGTGCATGAATGTTCTCCGTATGTTTTTTCTTACTATTTCTGATTAATTAAATTTGCTCTAGAGTTGCCAAGTTCAGCAAACTGAGCTGCATGCCAAGGCGGTGATATAGTCCATAAATTTAATAATAAATTTTTATTAACTTAAGTCAAGGTCTATATATCTTGCGTTTCTTAGGTTTATTTGAAAATGGCAATGTAAGACTGAGCAGTACGAGTCAAAGACCCAAAAGCAGTGCTCGGTATAAAATCTGAATGTTTAAATTTTCATAAAAGGACAAAAAAAAATATTTTTAAGTTTAAATAAATTCAAATAATTATTTAAATAATAAGGCTGTGACAATGGCGTTAAGAATTTTGTAATGCAAATATAATTTCCAGCATGCTTAAGCGGTCACTGCTGAGATGATTAGGGCTCGGGTCCCTTGAGTGGCTCAAAGGCATTCTCCCAAATGCATTCTCCCAAAAGCCTCATGACCACTATGCTGAAAAGATGGTTGAGGGGAATTGTAAGAAGAGTCCTTTAAAAAAAAAAAACATCATCTCGTGCCTTTGCAAACATTTTTCCAGAGACTTGACAACGGGACACAAACAGTGAGTAGGGCCCCAGGTAGGGCTGGGCTCACAAGCGGCGTCTGGACCACGGCGGCGACAATGGCAGGAAAAAAACCCATTGAGCGGTAGAGAAAGGCTGGCGGCAGACTTCTGTCTGCTTTCTGGTCCAGTTTTTCATTTTTGTTTTCTTCTAGTCAGAGGCCACCTGCCCCCAGCTCAACTTTTTTTGCTTCCCTCTCCCACCCGCAGCGCCGTGTTTTTGCGATTGTCTTGGCTCTGTCTCCCTGTTTACCGAGTGCATGCAACCCTCATATTGCCAGTGAGGAATTTGGACTGACCTCTGTGTATTCCAGCTGGTTTTGTTCTGTGTTCCTTTGTTACTTTTAATCCATGATTATTTTATGTTGTACAATAGAGTTCTTGAATTGTGCCTATCCCATCCAAGGAATGCTCATATCAATTAATAAGAATGCAAAATGACAAAAATGTGGCAGTCTTACTGCTGGCGGTAGCCATGTGTCATTCTTGTGAAAGGATACATGTTTTCGTGCTCTCTAAGCTCCTAATTGAATAGCTGTAAATTCACGACAGACTTTTGAAGTTTAACTCATGATAACATAATACAAAGCAGCTCTTCAGGTCCCAGCCAAGGAAAACCATACAATATATCCTCAACGTTTGCAGCAACATAAAAAAAAACTACTCAAAAATATTTCCTCTTCCCCACATTCTGTTTACAAATTCAGCATTGTTCTTGTTGGAGCTGAGGGTCTAGAGTAAATCCTCGCTAAGCGATGTGTAAACATTTTTTTATATATATAATGGAATGCACAAAATAAAAACAATGTTCATCTGCAGATGAGGCTGCATTGTTCAGCGGAGGACCTTGAAGTGTACCCATGGGGACGTTTTATGTTCGTGGTAAATTTGGCCAAAATGTCAGCACATTCCTGCATAGCGCTGATAATTTTTTTTTTACAAAAAGCACTCTGCATATCCTGCTCTCTTACGATGTTATTGATTTTGCAAATATGTCTGTAAAGTTCTCAGATTTGTTATTGGGTTGTTACTACGTGTTGTTCAGAGCTAAGTCTGACATTTCACGCAAATTCCTGGAAAAGCTCCCAGCCCATGGAGCGAAACGTTGGCCATTGAGCCCAAGAACCCGCAGGTACAAACTGACAACCACGGCGGTCAGCGGGGCCGTACAGCACAACTGCGAACACATTTTGCAGAAGTAATATCGCCGTAAGATTCATGAAATCGGCAAAGCCCAATAAGACATTCCCCCCTTTGACATCTGAGCCAAGGAGTGAACTGCTCCTGGAAATCCTACATATTTAAGACACCGCCTCGTAGTCCATTGGGGGCGCGATCGGTCTCCGTGCCGAGCGTGATGTTTTGAACAGCCTCCGCGTGCGTGCTGTGCCCCCGCCACGGTTCCAGTGCGGTTGGGGGCGAGATCTTCAACCAGTGCGTGGCCGAGGGCGAGGACGCCTTCACGGAGGTCGATGTGCGGCGCCTCATGAGGCAGATCCTGGAGGGCGTAGCCTTCCTGCACCGCAACGACGTTGTACACCTCGATCTCAAGGTGCTCCCCCCCCCCCCGCCGCCCCCTCCGGCCCCACGTCACCCCCCCCCCCCCCAGCCACGGGCCCCACCTTGTCCACAAAGAGACGCTTGTCAGTGGGGGAACGACAGCGTCGAGGTTCCTAACGATTTCAAAAATTTCACCCGGGCTGGAAATTTATGCATACAAATAATATATAATGAAAGATTTAAATCATCTCATATTCATGTGCCTTTGCAAATAATGGTTGGAAATTAGTAGACGTGATGACACCTTTTGTTATTTGTAAGACTGGCCGGGCAGGACTGGCTCGAACGCACAGCTCAAGATCTTAAGATCACGAGTTCAAATCTCTCTATTTACTTCTATAATGAGCCAAGAATGCCTGAGTGTCCCGCGCGTGGCGTCACTCCACGTCGACCAGCCCCCCTCATTAATAATCATGAACAGGTTACGTCCTCCACATGGACCCCTCTCATTAATAATCATGAGCAGGTGACGTCACTCCATATGGGGGGGGGGGAGGCGCCTCCTCCCCCCTCCTCGGCATCTACTTACAACCCTCACTACAAAGGCAGAACCCTCACGTCATCACGCGATCTCCGTAACGCTATTGAGACATAGAAGTAAAAAGGACGTCATGATGAACAAGAGATTATAACCTTTAAATGAAATAAATCTGTCACCGCGGCCTTACAAATTGCACACGAATTGATGCAGTGACTATCAGGTCGAGGTCTGCTTGTCGCTTGCAAGTTTCAGAATTACTGCAATACATCCGTCCTTGGACGGGCAAAAGGCTAGTTATCAAGAAAATTACAATTCAACCGTGGTTTTTCTGTAGAGTGGCTGGCACTCCCCATTGGCGATTTTTTTTTTCACCGCCGACTCAATTTCCACCAATAGAGATGAGCACCGCAGCATGCTCGTTCGTGGGATATACATTGGTAATAAATCTTATGACTATCTTCCCTTCCATTCGGTCGCGCATTTTACTCGCACCCACCTCTGCATTTCCCCACCACGCCTCACTGATCGACATCTATGCCCAATGCCTCTCGCTGTCGCGACAGCCTCAGAATATCCTGCTGACCAGCGCATCCCCACTGGGCGACATCAAGATCGTGGACTTCGGGCTGTCGCGGCGCGTGAACTCCGCGGAGGAGCTGCGCGAGATCATGGGAACTCCAGAATATGTCGGTACGGGCACGTGGGATCTCCCCCGCTGGTGTGCAGCATGCGTGATGCGAGGCTTTTCCATGGTAGCTGACCAGATGTTCGTGACAGGATTGGAGATGAACGGGTGCTAACTTATTCTCTTTCTCTCTGTATTTCAGCTCCCGAAGTGCTGAACTACGAGCCCATCAGCAAGGCTACGGACATGTGGTGAGCAGCGCTGCTGGCTTATTACTGACATGTCCATAACTGCTTATTTCAAACTTCTGGTGAATGACATAGCCATGACACGAGCACCTAGAAATGTGTGCAAGCACCAATCGAAATAGGTGCTTGCGAAGAGCTCTTTTGATGGCAGCTGTTAACTAACTCGCCGTGTCCTCCAGTTTTTTCCCTCCACATTGAGAATTGACATGCGTTTAGATTATTTTCATTATTTTGCTGCTATGAATTTCCATGTGCAGCTTGGATGAGTACGGCAACACACCCGAAAGAGAGACTCTCTCTCAAGGCTGCCTCTCGTGGAGTCCCCTTCTGTCAGCAGCGTGCGTGAGCAAGCCATTGCAGGGCCGCACATTCACGCGTCGTGCGCGGTCCGTTCGTTCACAGGAGTGTCGGCGTGCTGGCGTACGTCATGCTGACGGGGGAGTCGCCCTTCCTGGGCGAGGACAAGCAGGAGACCTTCCTCAACGTCTCCCAGCTTAACGTGAGCTACGAGCCGGAGGTGTTCGAGGGCGTCTCCATGCAGGCGGTCGCCTTCATCCAGCAGCTGCTCGTCAAGGCACCCCAGTGAGTACCACGCATCATGGGGGGGGGGGGGTGGGTGGGCGGAGGGGTGGGGGGGCAGTTGCGGGGGGTGGGGGACAGAACTGGGGAGGAGCTGTCACCTGAAAAACCCCCCTAGCCCCAAGGTGGCCACACTCACTTTCACCGTAAAGCTGGTGGTATGAAAAGGAATGCCTCGGTGTGCGTTTAATTGATCAGATTTTTTATTTATTACACCAAATGCTATTATAGGCCAGACGCTTGTTCCCCACAATTAAATTCCGGTGGGTGGTCGACTCGGCCCGTCTTCCCTCTACGGTCATCAAAACAAGAACCGCTTTGGGAGAATATAAAAGTGGTTGCTTCTGATTAGACTGGCCCCCATAATTGGAATGTCGTATTTACAAACACTAATTCTGGGCTCCCCACTGGGATGAGCACTGCTTCATGCTTGTTTTAAGTATGAAGTCAATTTGAAATACATTTGTATTTAGATGATAAGAAAATATAGATAAGCAGACAATGTTTCCTTCATATATCTGCTTCTCAACATAAAGTATAATGGTATTTATTACACGAGCCATCAGCCCCAGGGCCTTCGAGGAGTGTACAATTGCAGAGTGTCCCATCAGGAGACATTGTCTGCTTCACAATTTGTATTTATATTCTCCACGACGACCCCAATAGCTATTTTGAATTGTGAGATCGCATTTTTTTATTTGCAGTATGTTTGTGGGGTGGCGTGAAGAACCCGATGAACCGAGTTAAATCCCCAGCTACAGTGAACATCAGTGGCAAGTGATAGCAGAACCGGTCTTGCCCCCCACCCATGACTGGCCTGATGAAATATGCTCAAATAAACCCGATCGCAGATACAGCGTGGGGGGGGGGGGCGGCCCTTCACCAACAGTGCATTGACAAAGGGCAGTAAATAATTTTATTCATAACGTAAAACTACGCTGCTGGAGACACTCTTGACATTTTTTACTTTGGCGCTCACAGTCGACGAGCCACGGCGGAACACTGCCTGAGACACCCGTGGCTGAGTGCGCCGGTGGGGGCCTGCCTCGACGGAACCCCGTCGCGGCCCCGCGAGGACGACTCGTCCTACCTCCTCGCTGAGCCCAAGGCCGACGAGGTGGAGGACAGCGCCATCGGCTTTGACGCCGACGAGGCCATCGGCAGCGGCGCGAGCGGCGGCAGCACACCGGAGCCCCGCGAGGTGCGCGTCGCCCACCGCAGCGACAGCGACCGCCGCGACCCCGGTGTTGTCCCCTGCCGCGCCTCCCCCTCGGAGCAGGAGCAGGACTCCGCGTGCGACACGGCCGCGTCCGACGCGGAAGACGACTCGGAGCTGCCGTGCGCACGCGGGGTCTTGCCCGGCTGGATGGAAAATCTGGCGGGTGGCGCCGGGCGAGCGGAGGAGCCTGAGCGTGCGCAGGAGCAGCGGGGACGCGGGCGGGACTTGGCCCGCGCTGCGGCATCCTGGGATCCGGCGCTGCCGCCGCGGCCGACGTCGCCGTCGGCCGCCGGAGAGTGCAGCGTGCTCGTGCCGCCGTTCCCGTTGGGCCAGTGCCGGCAGGCGGACGTGGAGTTCGCGAAGAAGGCGACAGATGCCGTGGCCGCCACGAACTGCTTTCAAGCCGAGGAGGCATACGCCATCATCCCGGAGATGCAGAAGAAGCTGGTGTGCTGATGGTGGCCCCGTGACGTTTGGTCCGTGATTCAAACTGCAGGATCGCTTGGTAGATTCTCGCGTCCCGGCAGTGTTCCAGGTGTATGCGTTTCTGAGGCAATGACAGCGGTGCTTGAGGTTTTTATTTTACATTTATTTTTGGCTTTGGAGGCCCAGGACAAAGGAAATGTAAACACCCCGATAGACGGACGGGAATTTACCAGCAGCTTTTCCTTCTTGCATGCAATGCCTTTGCGTTTTTTTCTCCACTCCATTGTGTTCCCAGACATCTGGGAGCCGGCATAAAGTTGAGGCATGCAACACAGACAGGGCTTTGCCTGCACAATCAGCCCTCAGATTCCACGGTTTTTGGCACCTCTATACGAGGTGGGGGCTTGTCAAATTGAGACCCCGACACAGCGCTTAGCATTGAGCATTCGGTGGAGGAGTGCAGTGCGGAAAGTCGCAACGCCAGTGCTCACTCGATCCCCACCGAGACGTTAACACTGGCTCCACGACAAGTGAAGCGCAGGAATGTGCACCGTGTGAGGTTATAGGAATAATGGATGTTATTTATTGAGGCTGCCCAGGGTGGGGGGTGGACGTTATAGCATTACAAAACCCCCTTCGTGTAAAATGGAACATTCTGCATCCAATTTACTACTCATGTATACATTTAGTTTTGAGTGTTCTATTTTAATCGTAGAGGTGTTTTGTATTAATCCCCTGCCTCTCCTCCCACCTTGGATGTAGTCCTGTGAAATGTTAACATCCGTTGGCTTGTGCTGCATACATTTGTATTTTGTGTTTTCGCGTGTGGGTGCTGGAGCTTGTGTGTGTGTGTGCGCGCGTGCGTGTGCATAAATAGAATGGTGTAAACTTTATTCCCAGAGATTGCTTATAGATGGTCAACTTTGTATATAGTTAAATATGCACTATATACACCAATGTTTTTATCCTGTGTTGTGTAATCACACTTATTTAAACACTGATGGTAAGGCTTCATTGTGTGTGCGTGTGTGTGTGTGCGTGCAGGTGAGTGTAAATGTCTTGTTGCTGATTAGTTGCGATGTATAAAGCTGGACTGAGGTCTGTTACCGTTTTTAGGCTATTATTGACATGCCGGTATAATGTCAGTGAAATAGAGACTCACAAACCAGGCTCTTTGTCAAGAACAACACAACGTTGACGCAGAACAGCGCATGGGTCGAGGTGGGCAGGCAAGGTGTGTTATTTTATTTAGAGTAGGTAAATTTCAAATGATCAGTGGGTCTAAAAACAGCGATACCTCTTTGAAGTAATAACTCCAAAATCAGAATAACTTATATTTAAAATGTGTTTTTTTTATAATTTTACTATGACTTGTATCGTCTTGAATAAAAACTGTTAACAGTCACATTTATATTTTCCCCAAAGAGAGCTTGATGTTCAGTGAACTCGTACATTTATTTAGTGCAATGTTAGAGCATTTAATGCATAAAGACAGCATTCATTTTTTATTTTGTGCCTTCGAATACAAATACAGTAATTTATTCCTTATAACAAATTCGTGGTTTATGAAGTGATTGCTCTGTAAAAACATGTCAATTTGAAAATCGGACAACTACTGACAAACTATTTTTGGTGCCTTATAAAAAAAAGTGTATGAATGTACTTGGCTGAACACCTTCCCAATCACGTAAGAATTCGATTGCCGTGTGTGATGACGCTTTTGTATTCTGCGATTCGCTGTTACAGAGGTGGCTGAAATGATTCAGCCGACCTGCGTTGAATCAATCCGTTATAACGTCGCAGCCACATTTCACATCGCGAGCTTCAATGAGAAAACCTGCCGCGAGTAACGGAACCCAAATTCCACTGAGCTGTCCACTTCATCTATCAATATTTAACATTTATTTTACTACGTCAGGATTATTTGTGTTGTTTCATGTTACTAATAAAAGCTTAAACTTCTCTTTTTTGATATTCATCCCCTTGGATCCTGAATTTATTGTGAGCTTGATAATAATGTTGATTGCAAACAAGACTTCAGATGGGTTGCAATTATATTATGATACCATATGGGGCATGTACTATTTACTGTAAAAATGAATTGTCAGAACATTAACAAAATCATCAGCTACTGTTTTTTTTATTATGCAGTAAGTTTGTATGTTAAACTTTTTCGCACCGTACGTAGCCAACCGTGATAATCTGAGGTGCGGGAGGACAAAGTACAGGCTTTGTTAGACGATCATTTGTATTGGATCACTGGTTCAAGATAGGTTTTAGAAAAAACTGGATAATTCAGCACAGTATTTAAATGCCTAAAACATTTAGCCATGGTTTGGGGTGAGGGGTCTTCATCCACTCGTGGATTGATAATGGCTGATGATGATTTTGAAAAATGTAAGCTAAAGATGAATTGTCCTGATGGGAAAAACAATTACGACCCAGACTCTCAAATGTAATTCACTTTCAATGGATAAGTTATTGGGGTCATTTCTTGCCATTGCAAGTACCGTAGATGAATTGCTGTTCCATGGTGACATTGACGGGTAGAATGGCAGCAATCCAGCATTCTTTAAATTATAGCTCTTTTAATGCCAGTAATTATTGTCCAGGTCATCTGTATGGGACGGGAGCCAGTATGCACAAACCTGGCTGACATAGTGGAAAGATTTTTAGAGCAATGTTCTGGAAACTGGCTCCAACTGATAATCACCATGCAGAACAAACAACAGGTGAACGCTCACAAAGTCACATGGAACTCTCGATAAAACAATTCTGGATTAATTACATCCGCAAGTGAGAATCAAGCCATATCGTACAGAACACTTATCCGTAGCCATCCTACCGGCGACTCCTATTATCCATGGCAGCTGTTAGGGTCTGTAAATGAGCATATACGTGGCAATATTTCCTCTCATCTGTAATTTGACCCATAACGCATTTGGTGAAACTGCTTCCTAAGATTCACAAAAGTGCCCGTCATCAGGTGGAAACAACCACAGCAATAAACAATTGCTAAAGTGGGCAATTGTTTATTGCTGTGGTTGTTTCCACCTGATGACGGGCACTTGTGTTGGGCCCGAAACGTCGTGATTTAATTTATTTTATAACTACGTGACTTTACCGAAAGAACCAAAGAGTATGGATTCCTGCAGTCACGAAAACTTAAAATCTAGATTCAAATCTTGTAATCAAAAGTTAGTCTACTTCCTGTTGTCAAATCAATTCCACATTTTGCACAACGTACTCAGATCCGGTGACAATGCACGCCTCTATCAAAATCGGCATCAATTAAATCGCTACTTTAAAGCAATTAACATTTTGTGTGGACGCCTTATTATTTATATATTTGTGTAGGTAAAAAAACGCCACGTTCCCTAAACTCTGGAATCGCCTGCTCCGTGTGAACCAGTTACGGTAATAATCAATTAATTCCAGTAAGCGTTGATGTGGGAGCAGGCGCCGCATCATTGACATACTTCTCGACCGTGAGTTAAACGAAGTTGTTAATAAAACGGTTGTTTAAACAAATCTTTTTTAAAGGAGTTTATTAACAAATACTGTGTACTACATGTACAACTGGATCAATAACAGCGAAACAATTCCAAGCAGCCTACAGCGCCACCTACAGCATAGGGTTAAGTGCACGCACGTGGAAATTTCCCACGCTTTTTGTACCTCCATATAGCCCCGTCTCTATAGCCACGTCTACCTAGAGCCCTGTCTCCTTGTAGTCATGTCTGTAGTCTTGTGTCTCTCTAATGCCCTAGTATCTCTATAGACATGTCTACCTAGAGCCCTGTCTCCCTGTAGCCATGTCTGTAGTCTTGTGTCTCTCTAATGCCCTAGTATCTCTACAGACATGTCTACCTAGAGCCCTGTCTCCCTGTAGTCATGTCTGTAGTCTTGTGTCTCTCTAATGCCCTAGTCTCTCTATAGACATGTCTACCTAGAGTCCTGTCTCCCTGTAGCCATGTCTGTAGTCTTGTGTCTCTCTAATGCCCTAGTATCTCTACAGACATGTCTACCTAGAGCCCTGTCTCCCTGTAGCCATGTCTGTAGTCTTGTGTCTCTCTAATGCCCTAGTCTCTCTATAGCCATGTCTACCTAAAGCCCTGTCTCCCTGTAGTCATGTCTGTAGTCTTGTGTCTCTCTAATGCCCTAGTCTCTCTATAGCCATGTCTACCTAGAGCCATGTCTCCCTGTAGTCATGTCTGTAGTCTTGTGTCTCTCTAATGTCCTAGTATCTCCATAGACATGTCTACCTAGAGCCCTGTCTCCCTGTAGCCATGTCTGTCGTCTTGTCTCTCTAATGCACTAATCTCTCTATAGTCATGTCTACCTAAAGCCCTGTCTCCCTGTAGTCATGTCTGTAGTCTTGTGTCTCTCTAATGCACTAGTATCTCTATAGCCATGTCTACCTAGAGCCCTGTCCCCCTGTAGTCATGTCTGTAGTCTTGTGTCTCTCTAATGCCCTAGTATCTCTACAGACATGTCTACCTAGAGCCCTGTCTCCCTGTAGCCATGTCTGTAGTCTTGTGTCACTCTAATGCACTAGTATCTCTATAGCCATGTCTACCTAGAGCCCTGTCCCCCTGTAGTCATGTCTGTAGTCTTGTGTCTCTCTAATGCCCTAGTATCTCTACAGACATGTCTACCTAGAGCCCTGTCTCCCTGTAGCCATGTCTGTAGTCTTGTGTCTCTCTAATGCCCTAGTATCTCTATAGCCATGTCTACCTAGAGCCCTGTCTCCCTGTAGTCATGTCTGTAGTCTTGTGTCTCTCTGTAGAATAGTAATTCTTGACACCAAGGAGGCTGCTTGCCGTTTATTCACTCATACAAACTCCGTCCACTGTAAACTCACTGCTACCTTACACTCTCTGCTCTCGACGCTTACACCCGTTGTGGCGCACGTCAGAACTCTGTCCTTCACGCGGACATCCCTTCCTCTATCTCCGCCCCGGTACGGCCCCCATTTGTCTACCCACTCGTCTGCCCCAGGGCGGGGGATCATCCAACACCGCCCGGCAACGAGGTGAGACCTCTACATCTGAAGCCATCTTCGGCGGCGGCTGGGATGTCGTCCACGCAGGCTCTCGTTCCTCCCTCTCTCCCAACGGCGACCCAGAACTCACGCACGCTGCTGCTTTTTTTCCCCTTCTTCATTCTGAGTCGGAACGTGCCCCCACTGAAGCCGCCGTCTTCATGGCGCACCTCGCACTAGCTAATCCTCGTCATCACCCCCACGTCCACGGCGCCAACCCCGCGTTCACACGCGCACACCTGTTCGGCCCCAATTGCCCCCACTCACAGAGATCCTTGTGCAAGGTTGCATCATGCATGCCCTTGCACGACCTTTCCACAAACTCACACTTTCCCACGCTCGTCCCTCGTGTTACTCCTCCACATCTCTACTGCCCTCTCTCTCGAGCAGGGGTGGGGAACCTTTTTTTCTGCCAAGGGCCATTTTGATATTGAAACATCATTCGCGGGCCATACTAAATGATCAACGTAAAGATTAGCCTGTTATATTTGGTCAAACATTTAATTAACTCACCCCTAATGCGATGGCTGGAACTGCTTCTCTTTGGCGAGGCGTGTGATGTTAGCCGGTATTGATGATGTTGCTGCTACTCGCAACTGCTTTTCCAGGTTTACTCCTAGATTTATTGAATTTCGAGTCCCGCCTGCGGTTGCCTTGGCAGGGCCACACCAAATTATTTCGCGGGCTGTATGCCGGACATTCCCCACCCCTGCTCTATAGACATGTCTACCTAGAGCCCTGTCTCCCTGTAGTCATGTCTGTAGTCTTGTGTCTCTCTAATGCACTAGTATCTCTATAGCAATGTCTACCTAGAGCCCTGTCTCCCTGTAGTCATGTCTGTAGTCTTGTGTCTCTCTAATGCCCTAGTCTCTCTATAGCCATGTCTACCTAGAGCCCTGTGAACCAAGGTTATTGACAAGGTTATTGACATAGACGGAGAACAGCAAGGGACCAATGGCAAAAAGATCCTTGTGGAACCCCCTTTAGTAACAGGAGTGAAAGGGGAGATGTTGCCTTTATGCCACGATGTCTGTGTTCTGTTAAAACGATTTGAACCTTGCAATGTTGTGAGGAGAGAGATATTTAAGAGTTATAGTGTGATCCACAGTTGACTGCCTGGGAAAGGTCCAGGAAAACGGTCCCACAAAGCATGTTTGTTTAATTCAAGAGCTGAGTTGAAGTCATCGATTGGTGTTAGTAATGGCCAACATCATTACCTAAACCACGATTGGTTGTAGTTCAGAATGTTATGGGCATCGATGAAGGAGAGTCGTTGATTTTTACCAACTTTTTTTTGTACTCTGTACAGTAGTCTTGAGAGAAGGGGGTTTGAAGGATAAAGGTCTGAGGACAGTGGGATCGTCGGTGAACTAATTATCGTGACAAAAAAATAACAAATAATTCTATTTGAATAGGTGTAATGACTTCTGCTAATATTTGAAGATTTTTTTTAAAATAAGGCCCCTACATGAATAACAATAAACAGAGAACGTGCCATGTACTTTTCTGGTAAGGCATCAATAAAACACCAAATGTCTTAAGGATAAGGAGATCGCCCCATTGTCCCCTTCCCTTTGAATCTTGGACCGGCTCCTGTTTCAGGATCTTGAGTAGCATGGACAGGGAGCGCCCAATTTGCTCGTGTGAGACTATGGCTGTTTGAACAATTCTCATTCTTTAATAATAGGGGTTTTTCCTCCTTTTTTCTGGCAACAAAGCTGAAACCTTTTTTTTTACAAGGAATCATGTGTGCATTAACCACAATAACTTGTGCAAACAAAAAAAACACACACGCTCATAATATATGGCATTGTCCTTGAAGCTGGATTGGTCCCCGCCATAGACGGCTTTCTTTTGAGCCTCGTCTCAATTTGGTGCTGGCAAAGGAGGTCTAACGATGGAAAATTCTCATTCTTTATTATTCATCACCCCAAACCCGCCCGCCCGCACCGCGTGCGATTGCCTGCACGCGGTGTGACCGACACACAAAGCGGCAGCGTTCGAGTAACGCGTGCACGGCGCGCGATTCGACGGCGCGTGTCAAAAACGGCGCAATCGACACCCCCCAAAACACGCGGTGATGATGACGGAGCGGGACCTTTGGCCAGACGGCGACCTTCAGACGTCTGCTGCGTCGTCGTAAGGCACACGCGAAACGCGCCCGCTAAGCACCCAGCCAGCCCTGCCATAAAAGATAACTCTCTCCCCTTCGAGATATGGGGTGAATAAAAGCCGGTGGCGGGCATCGAGCTCCCGTGGAAGGTCGGGTGACTTCCTTGCAGCGTTAAACAAGACCTCCCCGCACACGTGGTCGACCGACAGTGGTCGCGTGGAAGAGTAGGCCAAAGACAACTTCGAGCAGCTTATCTTGAAGCCTCCTTCTCGTGGAGGCGCGCCGATTATGTCTTCCGGGCAGTCCCAGCGCGCACTCCTCCTCGTGACCGCTACGCTCCTCCTCGTGACCGCTGCGCTCCTCGTCCTGGGAAGAGGAGCTGCAGGAGACGCCGGAGGAGAAGCCGCTCCACACGGAGCGGCCCGCGGACGAGATGGAGACGACGAACCAGAGCCCAGAGGGCCCACAGAGCCCACAGGGCCGTGGTTTCGCGCGGCCGTGTCGGAATTCGCGAGCGTGGTCAGCCCCTTTCCTCCCGCGGTGCCACGGAGCCGCAGCGAGGCCCTCGCCCACATGGGGATGAACGTGGCCGCGATGGGCCGAGACGCGCAGCTCGCCCGGAACAAGGTGGACGGTGCCCGGGGCACGGAGATAGCGCGGTGGTAGTAGGTAGGTAGCGCGGTGGTAGTAGGTAGGTAGGTAGGGTGGTGGTAGGTAGGGTGGTGGTAGGTAGGTAGGTAGGGTGGTGGTGGGTAGGTAGGTAGGGTGGTGGTGGGTAGGTAGGTAGGGTGGTGGTAGGTAGGTAGGGTGGTGGTGGGTAGGTAGGGTGGTGGTGGGTAGGTAGGTCGGGTGGTGGTAGGTAGGTCGGGTGGTGGTAGGTAGGTAGGTAGGGGGGTGGTAGGTAGGTAGGTCCGGTGGTGGTAGGTAGGTCCGGTGGTGGTAGGTAGGTAGGTAGGTCCGGTGGTGGTAGGTAGGTCGGGTGGTGGTAGGTAGGTAGGTCGGGTGGTGGTAGGTAGGTAGGTAGGTCGGGTGGTGGTAGGTAGGTAGGTCGGGTGGTGGTAGGTAGGTCGGGTGGTGGTAGGTAGGTAGGGTGGTGGTAGGTAGGGTGGTGGTAGGTAGGGTGGTGGTAGGTCGGGTGGTGGTAGGTAGGTCGGGTGGTGGTAGGTAGGTAGGTCGGGTGGTGGTAGGTAGGTAGGGTGGTGGTAGGTAGGTCGGGTGGTGGTAGGTAGGTCGGGTGGTGGTAGGTAGGTAGGTCGGGTGGTGGTAGGTAGGTCGGGTGGTGGTAGGTAGGTCGGGTGGTGGTAGGTAGGTAGGTCGGGTGGTGGTAGGTAGGTAGGTCGGGTGGTGGTAGGTAGGTAGGTAGGGTGGTGGTAGGTAGGTAGGTCGGGTGGTGGTAGGTAGGTCGGGTGGTGGTAGGTAGGTAGGTCGGGTGGTGGTAGGTGGTGGTGGTAGGTGGTGGTGGTAGCTGGTGGTGGTAGGTGGTAGGTGGTGGTGGTAGGTGGTGGTGGTAGGTGGTGGTGGTAGGTGGTGGTGGTAGGTGGTGGGAGACAAGCAGAACCCCTTCGCTTCTGTGTGCTTTGGAGAAAATAAGAATCGGTGTAGAATGACGGCCACCGGCGGTAGTTCGTTCGCCACTCGTTGCAGAGGTTCGGGGTTCGATTCGGGCAGACAAGCCCGGTTTTATTACTACGGGCTATTAACCATAACAAACACAGATTTAAAGCTTTCGTGACTGCAGGGATTGATATTCTTGGTTCTTTCGGTAAAGTCACGTAGAAGGGAAACAATAAAATTATAATATTTTTTTTATTTTTATAATAATATTTTTTATTTTTATTATTTTATTGTTTTATAATAATATTTTTTTATTTTTATTATTTTATTGTTTCCCTTCTACGTGACTACCGAAAGAACCAAGAATAAAAAAACTGAAGAGTTATAATAGGCCATTGTGTTCCGGTGTCACAGTGCAACGATATTTAACTGGGAAACACGGCAATTTGTCGCCCTCTACGGAGAAAACTTGGCAGGACGCGCCTGCAAAATAGTTGAGAACTGTAACAAAAAAATATTTTGTCACTGGGTAGTAAGTGTTCTTTCCTAATTGCTTAACGCCTCAGAAGTACAGAAAATATGGCTAGTATTTCACACAAACTTTGCTTTTGTGACCAGGACAGTGATATTTTGAAATGTAGCTATTTTCAATGAGAAAACGTGGTGTGTGCATTTGTGTCTTTCGTTCGCATAAAGCCCTGGTCACAAAAGCAAAAGTTTGTGGGGAATAATAGGCACTTTCTATACTTTTTAGGTATAAGCAGTAAAAAAATACAACACTTTGTAACAATTTTTGTTCCTGGGTACTTAGTGGAATCAGCGAGGCTTTCCTTAATCTAGTGTGGTAATAATAAATAGTGTTTTTAACCTTGTGAAAATGAAAAATAATTCAATAGATACTAATCGTCTTTTGCGCATTTGGTATTAGTGTGGAGCTGTGGATAGAGCGCTTGGCGAACAATCCTAATAAAGTAAAAAAAAGTCACAATAATATTGGGTGGGATACAACAGCCCATCATGATCATCATCTTCCACAATTATTAAAATGAGTACTATTTTGTGAAAAGCCAACATCGGTCACCCTGCAGATGGAGTGGCCCACACCATTGGAATGTGACATTTCCACCATGTGCTTGGCCACCAGCGGAGAAGTCCTTGACCCATTTGCTTGTCTGAACAAGGAGAAAACGTTGACTTGAGCCTACATTCCATATTTTCTATTTTATCACGATAAAAGCAAAACATGTTACAACAAAGGAATATAACAAGATGCAATTCCGATTTTGTGTTTTTTTAACTCAACATCATCGAATAGCGCTAGACTTAGCGGTTAGGTTAGCCCAAAGTAAGAGTTTGGGATAGGTTAACATTTTCTTCAGTATGAAATACAATTATATTATGAAGCATTTTTCCTGTTTGGAGTTTTCAGCAAATGATGATTAAATTGTTTTTTCCTTCTGTATATTTTGAACATTCTTTATATATAAACCCTCAGGAAAATGTAATAAAATTCAGCTAAAATGTGTTCAAATTCGTATTTTAAATGTTTGAGGGGAATGTAACTGATTTAAAACATTTGCTCATTGTTTTTTTTGGTAAAGTCACGTATGTAAAAATACAATAAAATTATATTTTAAAAAAAGATGCAACGTGACTTTACCGAAAAAACCAATGAGTAATTTTATGCAGTCACGAAAGCTTTAATACTTTATTAAAACATTTGATTTCGAATACAAAAAAGATAGAATACAACTTTCAAAACATTTTATCCAAAAGTAACGTAAATCTGTTTATCAGCAACACCAGTTAAATTGAAATTATAAAAAAAAAACGTGCAGTATGTTTGAGCTTTTGCACTTGTGAAACTCTGTGCAATGTCCTAGCGCGGTTGAGAATGAGCACTGGTGCAAGGAACGAAATTTGGCCTCCTGTCCAATGCACCCTCCTCTTCGTAGCCCGGAGCCTTGGCCCCTCCGGCCCTTAGGCACCCGGATGCCATTGCACCGCCTGCACCCCTCGACCAAGCTCCGCCACCGCCTCTGTGGCAGCCCAACCGCCGGGCAGGAGTTGTTTGTCTGACATTCGCTGCTCTCGACAGGGAGCCCAAATCATCGTCTTCCCGGAATATGGACTCTTCGGTTTTGGCTTCACGAGGGATTCCATCCTGCCTTACCTGGAGCACGTGCCGGACCCCGCTGCCATCATCTGGAACCCCTGCCTCGAACCGGACCGATTCCCCAACACCGAGGTGACCTTATTAACATCGTACATTGCTATTACTGTTTGCATGTATAGAGAATCCACATGTTGCCCCCGCTCTCAAAATGCTGTACAGAAAGAGTGGGCCGTATTTATTTTTAAGAAAGAGGCAATCAAAGGTAGAGAGAAAGATTAAAAAAAGGAATATCTTGAACCTGGATTCAACAGAGAAAAGGGAGTCGACAGCACTGGTAGCTGAGAGAAGGGAAGTTCCAGACGTCTGGGGCAGCAAAGGAGAATGAGGGACCTCCCACTGATCAAACATTGATTGAGATAAGAGGGGGCAAGTCAATGGAGGATCTTGAAGATGTTGAGTGTGTGAAATTGATCTGGGACTGGAGCATTGGGATGGTGTGGTGTCATTTATGGGTGTGGACGAGATGTATTTCTGCTTTGGCCACATTTACCTTACGAGACCGAGCGTGCATGTAAATAGGAGCGTCTCGTGGCTCCACGTTTGTTGTGTCACAAAATGCCACCTGGATTTATTTTTGCAGTTTGAGGAAACTCACGCGGCTGGTTTGAGTTCATCATTGTCGTCCGCTGGCAGTGACCTCATTAATTCATATGCTAGACGGACACATGAAATGTATTCGGCTGCTCACGGGAACCTGTCTGCGCGTGGTTCAGCAATGGCTCGTGCTGTTCTCATTCTCATTACATGCATTTTCATCAACCTGCATGTGTCATCTGCAGGTGAAAACCCAGAGACGGTTAACCTTATCATCAGCGATTGTCTATCCATTGCTCGACGATGCCTCACCACGCCGTTGCTATCCCCTCATGGTTCCATGCAGCTGCATCAATCTCACTCCTGCACATTAAATTATCTCATTACTCCATCTGCACGGTTGTTGTCCTATTCTTGGGTATTTCGGTAAAGTCACATAGAATGGTTCAAAGAAAATAACAAAAAAACTACGACGTTTTGATCGCAACACAAGCCATCGTCATCAGGAGAAAAATAGCGATCGAAACGTCGTAGTTTTTTTGTTATTTTCTTTGAACCTATCTACGTGACTTTACCGAAAGACCCGAAGAATATGAATTCCTGCAGTCACGAAAGCTTTAAGTCAAGGTTGTTGTCCTGTTGGATGCGTTTTCCCTGGCTGCATTTTCGCACCTCTCTCGTCCATCATCCTGTCCAGTGTTATGTCCTACCAAATCTCATTTACTTGTCTCAGTTCTCAAAACGACCTTCTCTGCTGTGCGTGCATTTTTTTTAAGGTGTCATACAAATGTTCTTAGCTACGACAATTCCACGTGACCGGGCACCGTAGGGAAATGCGCCGTGTCACACCTCTGTTGCGGCCTCGGCGGTACCCGATGCACGTGCGGTGTGACCAGGTCCTTCGCAACCTGAGCTGCATCGCTCGGGACGAGGGCCTCTACGTGGTGGCCAACATGGGCGACGTGCTGCCCTGCTTAGTGGACCACGACAAGGGGTGCCCGCCGGACGGCCGCTTCCAGTTCAACACCAACGTGGCGTTCAGCAGCGAAGGCACCCTGGTGGCGCGATATCGCAAGAACAATCTGTACTTCGAGCAGGCCTTCGATTTCCCGCCCACGGTCAGCGGGGCTGGGAGAGGGAGTGGTAGAATCAGTAAGGATGCTGCTGTCGCTTGGTTTAGAGATTATTTATAAGAGCGTATGCGTTGCGTATAGCAGTTGTTTATAGAGGGTATGCGTGTCGCATCGGTGTAAGGCACTACCACTAGAATATAAGGTATGCCTTTCCATAATACAACATTTTTGTACCCTATATTCCGATAGTCCTCTGAACAGGTCTATAACAATAATGTAAACAAAAAAGCTGAGATGGATGTGACGTGCCAAAATAATTCCTGTAGCGATTTGCCGATGAATGCTATAAACATTGTTTCATTTCAGCCAGAACAGTCCAGTCCTGTGTTCAATCGCAACACTGCATGTCAAAACACTGATTTTTTTCTGATTATTTCCTGCTGCTGCTCAACTTTGCTCAATTGAAGAAACAAACTAACTCTTATCCATTACGTCAGTAGCACTGTTGTTAGTTTAACACGTAGGCTTTCGCGACCGATGTTATCCATGACGTTTTTTGGGTTAGATTGCATAAATGTGTCTCTAAACCCGCCACAGCCGATTAGGAATGTTTTCCACGTAAGAAAAACGTGCAAATGAGTTACTATTTCAGCACACCGGTGTGTTGGCGAGTAAGCCCACAACATTTACAATTCGAGTACGACGTTTCGCCGGTATTTACACACAGCCTCATGAGGCAACAGCCAGAATTGTGGATAAATCCTCCTGTTTCGGTCTTAAATAGAGAGATAATAAATGTGATGTCGTCACTTGTGAGCCAATCAGAGGGAGGGGGGTTAATGTTGTCATGTAAATTTCAAAGGATCTCTATATTTAGGTTGGTTATTACAGTTAATCCACATACATAATGTACTTTATGTATGTATACATAATGCACTTTATGTATGCGTACATAATGCACTTTATGTATGCGTACATACTATACTATATGTATACGAACATAATGTATTGTATGTATGAGTACATAATATATTTATGTATACGTACATAATGTAATTTATGTATGTATACAGTGTCATTTGTGTATGTATACACAATGCACGTATGTATGCATACATAATGTACTTTATGTATGCATACATAATGTACTTTATGCATGCGTACATAATGTACTTTATGTATGCGCACATAACGCACTTTATGTATGCATACATAATGCACTTTGTGTGCGTAATGTATTTCATGTATGCATACATAATGCACTTTATTGTAAGCGTACATAACGTGCTTTATGTATGCGTACATAATGTACTTTATGTATTCGTATATTATGTACTTTATGTATGCGTACATAATGCACTTTATGTATGCGTACATAATGCACTTTATGTATGCGTACATAATGCACTTCATGTATGCGTAAAGTACTTTATGCTTGTACATTACCGACCTTATTGCTTACCCGCTTTGCACTTTTGGCCTCTCGGGGTGTGCACAAGTTGTGATTTAAAAACAACCCCATCACCGTTTACTAGTTCCTTCCCGCCACATAGAAAGCGTGGGTACCCATCGCTCGACTTTGATGCCACCCCCATCCAGGTCGAGTACTCGATCTTCGACACGCCCTTCGCCGGGCGCATCGGGCTCATCACCTGCTTCGACATCCTCTTCTACGAGCCGGCCGTGGCGCTGGTGGAAAAGCACGGCGTCCGGCACATCGCTTTCCCCACGGCGTGGATCGACCAGCTGCCCCTGCTCACGTCCGTGCAGATACAGAGAGCCTTCGCCTACGGCCTCAACGTCACCCTAATGGCCTCCAACCAGCACCATCCAGAGAAGGGCATGGTGGGCAGCGGTGTGTACGGCCCCGACGTGACGGTGTACAGCTACGACGCGGAGAGCGAGCAGGGCCGCCTGCTCGTGGCCGACTTGCCTGTGCTCTCCGACGTCCTGACCGACGCCCAATCAGGCGTCCCGTATGGCACGGGAGAAGACGACAGTTGGGCGCTGCGCTCTGGAGCTTTGCAGGGAAGCATGGCGGATGAAGTTGCGCGCGAGATGAAGAATTCTGCCTCGAGAAACGTCGTGGGTGAAAAACCGGACATGCTTAACGGCCAGCCCCCACAGGGTCGGCAAAAAAAAGACCAGGCCTGTGACGATGAGAGCGCACCGGTGCCACTCGCTGGAGCCGACAAACGCGGGGCGTTCGTAAAGCGGGAAGGGCAGTCGGGTGGCAGCCGCATGGCCGACGAGTTTTACGCGAGCATGATGTACGACAACTACACGTTCAAGGCGCTGCAGGGGCCGGCGGGCGAGGTGCAGGTTTGCCACGGTGAGCTCTGCTGCTGGCTGACTTATCGCTCCTCGGGCGATGTGCGGGAGCTGTACGCGCTGGGCGCCTTCGACGGCTTGCACACCGTCAACGGCCGGTACTACACGCAGGTGTGCGCACTGGTGAGGTGCTCGGGCGAGGAGCGGGCGAGCTGTGGCCAGCCCGTGACGCAGGCCAGCACGCTGGTGGACTTCACACTGCGCGGAAACTTCAGGTATGTTCTGGGGCCTCTTTGAAACTGCTGCCCCTAATGCCAGTGCTTAATTTCTCACTTCAGATTTTCTGGGTAATTTTTTTTTTTACTGGAGTCGGCACCTGATTAGATCCAGATGAAATTAAACCCTGCCTAACGTCCAAAAGAAGACTGGGGAGTGAATACAAATCTCACGTTATGGTCGGGTACGAAAAATATCAAATTATTTGGTGCTTGCATCAAATTAAAGGTGTTTTGTAATCACTAAATTAAATAGCATTGCTACTTGCGTTCAGTCTTGCGTTATAAAATATACCGCAATAGAGGCTATCAAAAGGTCACATAATGCACGATCTCAAACTTAAATGAATACCTGTTATGGTTTAATAAACATCAGTGTTGGGAACAGGGGCGGAGCCAGGATTTCAGGCCGGGGTGACATTCAACAAATTTTAATTTCAAGAATGATTAGAGAGTCAGGCTGTTGAACCAGACGCCATCGGTTGGCGACACACTTTGACAATGCAGTTGCACGGAGTCCGCCAGACCGAGTGTCGTATGCAGAATGTCACCCCTGTCACCCTCCTTGGCTCCGCCCCTGGTTGGGAACATGGTAATGGCCACACAACCCCACTATAGCCCTAACAGGTGCTCACGAATGCACTTGCCCTGACAGTCTGTTAAAGTGTGAATGTGTGTGTGTGTGCGCCTCGTGTGCTGTTCTGGCCTTAATAGGTGCTCGCTAACAGAACTTGCCCCAACAGTCTAAGGCTATACAGGGGATCTTTGTCTTGTCAGCACGCAGCACGTATACCCCTGCATTCTGGGGAGCGGAATGCGGCTCGAGGCGCCGGACTCGTTTAGACGGGACGCTGGAGGACAACGATTCCTGACGGCGACAGCCACAGAGCACGGACTCATCACGGCTGAGATGTACGGACGCGACTACGAGCGTGACTCAATGGGTGCGAAGCCTCACTGACGCACCAGAGCCGTCTCCAACACGCACGCGCACACACGCGCGCACGTGCGTACACACGCTCGCTCGCGCACGAGTATGCACGCAAATTACGGTTGCCATCTCGTTATATCCCATTATATCAGAAGAGGGAGATCTACATTTAAATGCATTGTTTTGATTTTGTATTATTAAACTGACAAAAACCTGGAGTTTTATTGTCCTCGGAAGAACAGGTGGCAACTCTATGCACAGGTCTAAAACATAAAAACTTATATTTTTAAAAATCTCAGTTGTATCTGGTGTAATTAATCATATTTGCACATAAGTTCAACCCTTTAATTAAATTTCCCATCACTTCAACCACAGAATGTACGTCGCGTACATTACGTGCGCCTTTCACATCTGCGTAATCCAATCCAAAATGCAAAGTAACATTTTACAAAATATTTTAATGAATGTGTGTGTGTTCATACAAACGTGTCACACGTACTTGATTTTACGCACGAAATGTTTTACGTCTGCAAATAATTAAAATAAACTTAAATCATCGGCATCCTCTCTCTCTCTCTTCTTCAGCAATCGTTTTTTTTTGCACTCGACCAAAACACCCATGGCACGAGTCACGCCGGTGTTCAATGCTCAAGGCCAATCGCGCAGCAAACAGGACCGGCGCACACCTTTCATTGCACGTAACAATCGCGCGCGCACAGCATTTGCTAAACATGCAAACAGTGCTAAGACCACGGAAATGCTGAGCACTGGGACTATGAGCAAAGATGCAGTCACGAACTACGCAAATAGAGATGGTCACGATTACATTCAATAACCACCAATAAAAGGAATACAGTGCAAAATTAAAAACGTATCAGTAACATTAATTTATGTGGCTTAAATCTCTTGTTTGTTCTTGGGACCAGATTCCACTGTGGTTCCGCCTTGTGTATACACACACACACAGCATTGAGGTGGAGCTCATCGCTTGGTTACAGTCCTGAGCCAGTGGTTTACATTTCCACGTTCCTATGGTGGGGGTGAGTATCCATAGGACAACCACTGTTGACTTCCCCACAAGTGGTACTAATTTTATTGACCCCGGATGGATGATGGGCTGAGTCAACCCCACCAACTGGGATATGAACTCGCAACCTTCTGTTTGCGAGCTGCTCATTCTACCTCTAAATGCTACCTGGATGTCTAAGTGTACCATTACACATCCAAATACTGAAACTGAAAAAATGGACACACATGTAGCTGCCTCCACACAGATAACTGTACAGAACATGAATGTGCAGCCTGAGCTAGTCAATTGAGTTGGCCCAGTGCTGAATACAAAATAATAATTGAACGAACTTTGCCTTGCCAGCAGTGTCAAAGTCCACCGCCTATAGCAACTCTTGACAAACAGCCATCTACAGTATGTGTGTAACAATGCATCGATTGAGATACAATAAAAACATACTAATTTAACGCAATAGCATAACATTTTGTACTTTACAAAATACAGTTGTGTGTTTGTGAAATTTTTTTTATTTGTATATATTGTATGCGATTGGTTTGTGTAAGCCCATTGCGTGGATCACACCATGGAAAGTAAATAACTCAACTCTTCAATACAATTATGGCACTGCATCTGAACACTTAGAAGATGCTTGGAGGGATGGACAGATATCGTTCGTTGGCCGTTTTGAAGTGAGAGGCCTCGTGTTACCACAGTCTGTGTGAAATTAAACCGCAGGCTCTGCGACTTGGAAGTCATGGCCGCCGTAGGTTCCCCACCCCTGACATACACACGCGCGCACGTGCACCTACACGCGGGCACACGACGCTGCCCGTGTCAGTAGAAGGAGCAGGCGGCAGTGAGGAGGAGCGATGCGGCGATGAAGCCCGGTAGGCGGTGCATGTGCGCCATAGCAAATGCTGCAGCACCGATGGCCAGGGGGTGATGCAGCCGTGCCACCACGCGCAGCATCTTGCTGAAATGACAAAGATAAATATCCCCACACCCCCACACCCGTGTAGCTTAAACAGATTGTTGGGGCAAGTATTGTTGGTGAACACCTATTAAGGCCGACGCAGGACACACGTCGGCTGGAGTGGCTAGCACCATGGCTCCCCGCTTGTTGTCTTTTAAGTGCCAGCTACTAATATGAAGCTGAGTGGACCTAGGGGAGGCCCAGCACCGTCCAGATATCACTTACCACTGATGTTAGTCTTTGTGGAATCAAGCGAGATTTATAGGACACATTCTTAATTCCATGTAAATCGATGAAGGCTCAAATGACAGGAAGTGGTGATGCTATAGCAGGGTCGGGAATCTTTTCTTTCCTTACAGCTATATAGGACTTTTAATACCTTTGGTGGGCAGCCACACGGTACACACCTCAGTCACTTCTGTCACGGCAGCCAGGCCCCTGCAGTGACTGAAATGACCGAGCGCGATAAAATCTGAAACCTTTTCTAATTTTCAAAAAATTAGCAAATTGCAAAGTTTAAAATATTCCTCTTCAGCACCTGATGTGTGCAGCTAAGACGCTCGCAGCGTCGGATGATATTGTTTGCGTGCCGTTTTGAAGTGAAGCGAAGTTCTAGATTTAAAGCTTTCGTGACTGCTAGGATCCATACTCTTTGGTTCTATTGGGTAAAGCCACGTAGGTGAAAATAAAATAACAAAAAATCACGACGTTTCGGCCACAACACAAGCGGCCTTCATCAGGGGAAGGGACGAGACTGTCTGGAGGACAGCGCTGTCCTCCAGACAGTCTCGTCCCACTTGTGTTGTGGCCGAAACGTCGTGATTTTTTGTTATTTTATTTTCACCTACGTGACTTTACCCAATAGAACCAAAGAGTATGAAGCGAAGTTGTGGGCTATATTTGGCCCGCAGGCTGTGTGTGGGTTCCCCGACCCGTGCGCTATGGGTTTGCAGTTCGTTCATTTCCCCACCTCTCTCGGAATGCCGTTGCCCGGGATTCCATGAGCAGCACGAGCACAAGGCTGATGACGGCGGAAACGGCTCGGAATGGATCCGGCTGCAGCTTCCTGTCGACGCTGTTGGCACCAAAGAGGTCATATCAGTCAATGGCGTCGGTGCCGCCTCCGACGAGCACGGTTGGTGTTACGTACGGCGCGAAAGAAAATTAATATAGATAAACCCCGTCTCGTCCTCACGTTTCTTCACGCTTTCCAACAACAGTTGATTAGTTTATTTGTACACTTGTTTGAAATTGTTATTGATTTGTGTTTTGTTTAACGAGATCTGCTTTTATTACCCAGATCTCCCTTGAAAAAGACTCGCAGTCTCAATAGGCTGACCTGGTTATAAGGATGATTAATTTAGCATTTCACATTATCGGCTTTGACAAATGGCCATGCGTTTCATGTAAACAACCGTAGAACCAGGTAATAAGCAAAAACAAAAAAATTATGCGTATTAATACACTGGAAAATGTTACGGTAATCGGTCTCTGTCTTGAGACAGCAAGTGGGCAAAGTGGTGGATGCTGACTCACTGCAACTGCTTCAACCAAAAGACGAGGGAGGGTGCGGTGAGCGCTAGCGCGCACACTGCCAGGGACAGCGCCGTCATCTGCAGGTGGAGCCGGTCAGAAGCCACGCGCACCAGTCTCTCCGCCAGGGAACTCCCTCTCGATAGCCCGTCCTCATTCCCGGCTTCGCCCGCACCGGCTGCGCTATCGTTACTCCTGGGGCGCTCACGACCGCCGGGGGAAGAAGCCTCGGCCGTGCTCTCGGCGCGATCTCCCGCCGACCCGGCGCGATCTCCCGCCGACCCGGCACCCGGCCTTTTCCGCGGTCCATCGGCCGAGTTGCCAAAAGGCTTTTCTTCTTTCTCGCTCGATCCTGCACCCTGGCCCTGCTGATCGTCCTTGCTGGGGCGGGTCTCTCCGGCACGCGACGCAGGCGTCTGAGGGTGGGAAATTGCACAGCAGCGGCCGTGTTGGGAAAGACTCGCTCATGGGCGAGGTTTCAAAACAAACGATTTGTGTTGATGAGTTCGATCAAGGATTCATTTCAGCTAGACCTATCGGGGCTGGTGAGCAGGAAAATATATCCGACACAACATCCAGTATACCTCTCGTTATGACTATGGCTACTAGTCACGTTGCTCCGCCAGTCTACCAGCAACCCAGACAATATTCAGTGGGAATTTAAGCCCCGAGTTCTAGCAAATATCATTGATTGTTAAATGAACCAATATCGTTGGGAAATTTATACGCAATCAGCAATTCTTCAATTTAACAAACATTTGTAAATCAACTCAATTCCGAGCACATGTCAAAACACTGCATATATGGGGGCATGCACAGAAATGCGGTGCAATTTTAATGAGGGATTTTTGGTTGCTGCATTTGCCCGCTTATAATGGGACATGTCAGGAATCCAAGCCTTGTTCAAGACAATGTATCCCATAGTGAAAGAGGATTTCAGCATTTATGCTACTGATTCAGTGACTACAATGTATCACAGTGATACATTGTAGAAAAAATGGGCACACGTACACACACACACACGTACGGTATTCTTACCAGGTTGAGGGCAGACCGCATGGCTGCCACTTTTGCGTGCAGTCTGATTACCTGCGATAGGCCAACGCAACGCACACCAATGATTCATGAGTTTCAAAACGCATATGTATATATAAGACTGTCAAATGATTAAGAGTTATCAGCAGCAAACAAATGTGCCCTGCAAGTAAACGTGTTCCCCAATTGCAACCAGCAAACTCTGAAATGCACGGTGGAATCGCAGTGCATTTACCACCTGCACTGGCAGGCAGTGCAGGTGGTAAATGCACTGAGCAGTGGGGTGCAAACTTTTTTGAGCGTGGGGCCAATTTGGGCATCTCATAGCTTCCCATGGGGCTGAGAGGGTCAAGTGGACATTTTGCCACTGTGACGTCGCGTACTTGTAGATGACGTCACGGTGGCCTGTTCGCGGCCAACAGCCCCGTCAAGTTGTTTTAGATGTGCTTCTGCGACTGTCTGGAACGCTCTGTCTTTTGATATGATATTAGGAAGTCACTGGGAGCTATGCATTTTTAAGATTGAAAACTAATTTCTTTAGAACTCTTTTTTGTGTTTGGTTTGTTGTCCTTCCCCCCGCACCTTCGATGAGCATGGTTGGCTACGTATGGTGCAAAAGAAGTTCAACACACATACATACATACATACACTGCACAGCACCCCTCCGCCCCAGGTTTCTGGGTTCCCACAGACAATTGCAACGACATCGCCGCGCGTCTCCACAGGTGAGAAAGCCCACCTTGGCCAAGCACAGGAGGACGGTAACAGAAAGGGCGAGAGCTCCGCAGAACAACCACGCCACCCCGAGCACCATGGCCATCACGGGCACGCAGCGCGATGACAGCAGCCCCCCCGGAATCACGTCCGCGTTTGGCCTGCAGCAACAATAACCGCGATTACGGGGCGAGGGTAGGTTCAGGGTGGAGCTCGAGCGGGCAGGGTGCGTGGGAGGGGCAAGAGGTCACGCACACCACAAAATGTTATGCGTCCCATCTGCGTGGCGCATTACAGGTGCAAATCTCAGGGTGGCGACATTGGTAAAAGCACAACCCAGATATTGTATTTTTCCCACTACTGCTGGTAGAAGGACCTCCACTAGAGGGAGCTCTACGAAGTCCTTCTAGAGGGTATTTTTGGCCTGCGCTTCCACACTGGCCAGATATACTAGCAAGAGAGTACCCAAACTTTGCCCCACCACATACGACTGGCCGATGGACTGCGGCATACCCATTTACAACTGTTGGGCGGACATTGAAGATGGCGATGCGAAGCGTCGTCACCGTTGCTCTTAAAGCAGCCCGTACCGCTTCACCCTGACGAGCGCGGCGGCAGAGAGTCGCACGACGCAGGAGCCCAGGAGGGCGCCGGCGCGCACAGCCGCGCCGGCGAGCAGGAACATGAAGAGCGGGAGGAGGTTGTGCCACACGGCGCGGCGCTCCAGCAGCACGGCGTCCGGCTCGGGGAGAAGCAGGGAGGCCCACGCGGCATGGAACCACTCCCAGCTGCACCGCACGTCGCCAACCACGCGGCACACGCCAGGTGCAATTTCATTTAAAACTTTTTAAAGAAATATAAATGGAATGGTTATTTAGACCGGAGGAATCCGATGAGCTGTGAAGGTCTTTTTTTTAAAATATATCCAATAGGAGCAGGTCAACAACACCAACACGACAACAAAAACAGCAGCGATAAAAATACCGGATTATTTGCTGGGAACATCCGTAGTGTTTACCATGCAGTTTAATTCGCACTGGTTTGGTTTTATGTATGGCACCTGTTTTATGGCGACATGTAAATAGGTATGGTGCAGTGGTGGTGCAGTGGTTTGTATACTGTCCTCTTAACCCAGTAACCCAAGTTTGATTCCTGGCCATGGCTATCATCAGGGAAAGATGCTCTCAAAATGCATGCATTGAGGAGTGGTGTGTGTGGAGATAGATTATTGCCGATTTGTGCAAATTATATGGAAACATGGTAATGTGACATTCAGGCTGTGGGGGAACAACTTTATGAATGCGACTTTAAAAAGGAAAAAGTTATATGATACAAAAATGAATCACTAATCATGAAAATGCATCCAATTACTGAGGGAGGTGAATCATGACATGCCTATACATTAGAAATAATATGCGACAGAGTGCGACAGATTGGAAAGACCTTCATCCAGCAGTGTATAGATCATGGCAGATGAGGACTAAGAAAGCATGATACTATATGAACTTTAAAACAGTAAAAACCAAAAGATGTTATTTACCCCATAAACAACTTTAAGAGGTTGACGAAGGGCTGTATGTGGAAAGGCTTGGCGGCCACTTCAATGGCAGCTTGGAATGGGGGGCACGGCTCTGAGAAGACAAAGGGGGCACGGGGGTTGAGGCTTGCGCAACATGGGCAGGCTCAGGGGTCACGGCAGGTCACGAGGAGAGCAGCTCAGAGCCCTCGCTTGTAAACCACACAGATTGAAACAAACAATTTATCACCAAATATGTCAACACATAGCGGCCAGTGCCAAGGTCGAAGGATTCTAAAAACACTTGGCATAGAAGCGCAACATTGCAACCTTTCATATGAACCTTATGGTGGGACCCCGGGTTCCAAAATAAACGGAAGGCAAAATCGTAATTTATTTATTTTTTGGCGACTCCGTCGCACCGCGCACATAAACGCCGCGACCCGCCAGAAATCAATCCTCTCCTCGTTCTTCACCAAGCACCCGTCGTTGCCCAAAATTGCCGCAGTCACAAACGAAACTTGGAAACTTTGATGACAGCATCGTGTAGAGCTCGTCGAGAGGAATAGACCGCCGTGTCGTTCGCCTTCAACAGATATAAAATGACGTCGCAACGCAGTTTACGCGAGAGCCGGGGGCTTTTGGGACGCCAGGGTCCCACCATGAGGTTCATATTCACATCCTTTATGTGACTTGATGAAACAAAGCTCTCAGCCCAGATCGGCTCCTCTAAAATACAGACATAAGACTGTATTACCGATTATCTTAATAACTAGTTTGTTAGCCCATCCTCGGACGGAAGCTATAATATGAAAGATGTAAATTAACGTTTTATTGTGCGATTGTTAATTTTATTAGGAAATGTAGCACGTAAAGATATTTTTTCTTAATTTATTAAATGATATATATTCTTAGTTTTTTCGGTAAAGTCACGTTGAAGAGAAACAACAAAATAACAAAATATATATAAAACAATAAAAAATTCTCACGACGTTTCGACCATAACTCAAACGGTCATCATCAGGTGTGTCGGTTTGCATAAATGTATTTTGAAAACGGCATATTTATTTATTTATATATAAAAAAATAACGTTTGCGTCACGCGCAACGATTGGCTGTTTGCCAGGACTAGTCCATCTATTTTTTGAAAAGAGGAGGGGGGAGACGAAATTTGTTTTTATGTATGCTGTCTGAAAGCCACTGTAAGCGTGAACAATCAATCAAGAACTGAAATGATTTATCAAATCTTTCCAATGATTGCTAAGATAGAATCCATCTTCTCGGTTGAAATTGTCTCTGTGTTTGTATATGTGGATAGCCTCATGAACGAATCTCTCATGGAAGCCAGATGGCTTACAAAGAACCTCCGTCTTGGAAAAGTCAATGGCATGTGAGCCTACTGAATTAGAACAATGATCTGCTACGGCCGAGGTGTTGGTCCTACCGTGTTTAAGGTCTGCTTTATGTAGGACCAACACCTCGGCCGTAGCAGATCATTGTTCTAATTCAGTAGGCTCACATGCCATTGACTTTTCCAAGACGGAGGTTCTTTGTAAGCCATCTGGCTTCCATGAGAGATTCGTTCATGAGGCTATCCACATATACAAACACAGAGACAATTTCAACCGAGAAGATGGATTCTATCTTAGCAATCATTGGAAAGATTTGATAAATCATTTCAGTTCTTGATTGATTGTTCACGCTTACAGTGGCTTTCAGACAGCATACATAAAAACAAATTTCGTCTCCCCCCTCCTCTTTTCAAAAAATAGATGGACTAGTCCTGGCAAACAGCCAATCGTTGCGCGTGACGCAAACGTTATTTTTTTATATATAAATAAATAAATATGCCGTTTTCAAAATACATTTATGCAAACCGACACACCTGATGATGACCGTTTGAGTTATGGTCGAAACGTCGTGAGAATTTTTTATTGTTTTATATATATTTTGTTATTTTGTTGTTTCTCTTCAACGTGACTTTACCGAAAAAACTAAGAATATGAATTACTGCAGTCACGAAAGCTTTAAATCAAAATTTATTAAATGATATTAAGGACTTTGGAATATTTCTCAGTATACGATATTTTATCACTATTCAAAAGGTTTCCCTGCAGTTGGCTATCCTTCATGAACACTTTGATCCGCTGAGGATATTTAGATAGAGACAGAGCGCGTACAACTGGCCATGGGAAAAAACGGGTTCATTGCGATAAATACCCACATTTTCAAAAGTCTGATCCTGCAATTTGTTGATCGTCATTGCATACGCAGGGATTATTGGAATTTGCCGTCGTTTCAGTACGACAGGAAGAGTGACATCACTTGGAGCTAGGTCGATTCTCGGGATGAAGACAATTTCGCCTCGGTTGCATTCCGATAAATCTCTGTGGTGATGAAGTTATTTTCTAATGATTTGACCATCAAACGCATTCCATTGCAAAGGCCGTTCTTCAGGTTAAGATTTCGCAGCAGCAGCAGCGTGAAGATAACGCCTGTCTTCAGTGGCAATGTGTGTGGCGGCATTCCTGAAGGCGTTTGATCGTGAAGAAATTATGGAGGGTAATTCAATGCGTCCGCAGGATCTTCCAACACGATCGAGACAGAGCTGTAATAATTTTGGATATCTCCCGGACAGCTGTGTGATGATGCAGGTGGCTCTGGCGAGCTCTCCATCTCTGCTGTCTTTCTCTTTGCAAACGGCGTTTCTTAGCTGCAGTATCTTCGTCCCCCTCGTACGGCAATCCTGGGCTGACGTATTTAGATCTTACGACACTTAACGGGCTCCAGCAGCTGGAACACTGCGAAAAAGGTTGCCTCGCACTTTTTAGACACTGTATAGGAGCGGGGTGATCTGCAGAGGGGCCAAATCTAACTAGTTTCGAGGCAAAAAGCATTAAAATTGGTAATTCTTTTGACCAGGGATTCTTCGGTATCTTACACAATAGGCAAAGGCGAACAATCTCTGTGGCTGTATAATGTAAAAACCTGTAACTTCACTTTAGCACTGTTTTCAAATCACTTGAAGCTGTTAACTGACAAATGCATTTTCACCGATGGACGCTTGATAGCGAAGAGTAAAGAAAGTAAGAGTGCTGATACTGTCTTAAACAACTTAGCAAATAACGAAGACCAAAGAGAGACATTACAGTTATGAATAAATTGATCAAAGTATAACTTTATCTTGTCTAAATGTAATGGCAGGGAATATTGAAAAAAAGAATGTCATCAAACACTTCACTGCATTTCACTGTAGCACTGTATTAATGGCAGTGAATGTTGCACAGAAGGAAGTCATAAAACACCTCACAGCATTTGACCGCAGCACTGCATTAATGGCAGTGGTTGTTGCACGCAACTAAGTCATCAAACACCTGACGTAATGTCACAGTAGCACTGTCTTTAACGGACGTTCAATTACTTGCAATTCACTAGTTCTGATAACTTACCTATATATAAAACCTATAGAACCAAAGAGTATGGATCCTAGCAGTCACGAAAGCTTTAAATCTAGAATTGATAACCTCTATGGGGAGGGCTTTCACCTATCTGTTAGAGCTTTTAACAGACAACGGGACAAGAAGTCGCAACTCATCGAGACGCTGACCTTCCTCAAAAGATGCCGCGATCACAAGGCGCTGTGTTTTTCTTCTCACACATCTTAAAGGTCGTGATCTAAGCGTGGCTTCTCCCACTCCAGTGCTGTCCTCCAGACAGTCTCGTCCCTTCACCTGATGAAGGCCGCTTGTGTTGTGGCCGAAACGTCGTGATTTTTTGTTATTTTATTTTCACCTACGTGACTTTACCCAATAGAACCAAAGAGTACACACAGCGTTGTTTGTGTCGTTAAATTAGTTGCTGCGTTGATTTCTTTGTTAGCTTTACTTTTCATAAAGAAAGTTCAAAATGAAAGCTATTTTGTGTAAACAAATTTTCGCTTCCGCTCCACCTTCTTCATGCGGAGTGACGTCACCCATTCATGATTATTAATGACGGGGGGGGGGGGGGGGGGGGGGGGGAGCCATGTGGAGGACCCCACCTGTTCATGATTATTAATGAGGGGGGCTGTTCGATGTGCGGTGCCGTCACCTGCTCATGATTATTAATGAGGGGCAGGTCCATGTGGAGCACGTAACCTGTTCATGATTATTAATGAGGGGGGCTGGTTGACGTGGAGTGACGTCACGCGCGTTACACGCTGACATTCTTGGGTAAATATCGTAGTCAATAATGCTTCAGCCAAAAAGTAGCTACATGCCTATCCCGAACCCCAACCCTTACCCTATCTGTACTCTTTTGCCATTCATGGTTTTGTTGCATCCATTAACACGTCCATTATCGATTTGCGCGAGCTCCAAACACAATTCTGCATAAATATTATCCGTAGCATCAGTTATTTTTTTGCTTCAGTTCCCTCATCTCTTCTGAGATTTTGGGCCCCAATTTATGACCCATTTAACTATGATTACAGCCATTCGCCCAGGAATTATGTTACGTGTTCCCCCCACCACCTTTCATTTAGACCTCACCTTTGCTCTGCTGATCTAAGAGCTGCTTGCCAAACACGAGCAGGATGTTCGCCACAAAGTACGCGGGGAAGCACTCGGCGTGGAAACGCACGAACTGCGGGCAAATTCACGAGGTGGAAACACACGAGGTGGAAACATGTGATCAAAATTGACCTTTAAAAGCTTGTCAACACGGTTACAAACTGTGTTTATAGGCATCGATGGAGATGTAAAGTTAAGATGTATTTCCTGAATGTATAGTTTTTCATTTAATTATGGAGCCTTACCTGTCCCATCACTTCTAAAAACGACGTCTTGATGGTGACCTATAAAAGAGTGAAGGATAAAATAAATCACTCAAATGCTCCGTTGCATTTTCATAACTGCATTAACATTTTTACAAGTGCATATTTCTGTTGCTTCTCAATTGGTTGAATAATTTTGCCTTTTTCCCCAAATAATTTTCCAACCGTGCTATATCGCCACCATTTCACGAGACCACACATTTCATTTAGAACTCTCACAATTAGAAACGCACCACAAACTCGTACTGAAGTCACTTCAACAGGCCTCTTTATCCAGACTCGGGGCATCCTTTGTGTATGCCATGACTAGGAATGTTCATAGCATGTCATTCAAAATCCATTCAAGATGTCTTCCTCTGAGCAATAATCAGCCAAATTATGTTAATTATTTTTATTTTACAGACGGATATAGTCTGCCAGCAGGGGGTGATGTTGCTATGTGTAATCCCAATGGGTATAATTTTCTAATTTGAAACAATTAGTTGCACTGCATTTCTGTATTGCTCAGATAACGGTGAAAAACTTGGAAACCTGCACATCTCTTCTCCACTTGACCAGCAAGTGCCCAGTGGCATAGCTATCGAGTGCAGGCGGTGCAAATGCACTGTGGCCCACAGACCTGATGGGCCTAGGCACCGGGCTACAAGAAGGGAAGGCGAGCACTGGCAGCTGACTGGTGGCCTTGACCATGTTGCCTTTAGGTGTAGGCAATGTGAATATTTTCCCAGGGTGATGGTAGATTTGTTGGGACTCGAGAGTGGCGCCAGGACCAAATTCTTTGCTCCGGTGGCTGTGATTGCCGCATGTGTGCACGTGAACTGCCCAAGTGACACCAAAACGCTTCAGCCTACATCACAGAAGCGGGTGCTGTGGTGCGGAGATGATAACTACCTCGCCTGGAATGCAGATTGTGGGTTCGATCACCGCCCCTGATGCCTGTATATTTGGAGTTTGCATATCTCTCTCCCCATGGTCACGTGGATTTTTCTCCGGGTCCTCTGGTTTTTCCCCTTCACATTTAGAAACAGCGTGCATTTCGAGTATTTGGCTGCTATAAATGTCCACGTGATAAGCCACTTCGTTGAGCTATCATTTGCGGCCGGGTCGCTTCTGAAAAAAGAGCTATATTGCCCCAATGGGCCTTACATGATCAAAAAAAAGGCTTTAAAATAAATAAAAGCACACCGAGACATGAGGTGAGAGGGGACGATGATAGAACACGGGGGGTGGGGTGGCAGGGTGGTGGGGGCATTTCATTCCTTACACCAGGGCCCCACGCCAACCACACTACACAACTACGGTTCGTCCTCATGCCCGCGGCGAGTGTGCCGTAATGCGATGCACAGGGCACGCGCCTCGTAACGGCAATCAGCGTGGCCGTGCAGCTGGAGGCTGGGCATCGCCTCGTTTCCCAGTGGCCGGCCCGTGTGCAGCTTCACAGACAGCGCTGTCACATCCGATGCACTATAACGCACACACGTGCACGCATGCACACACACACACCAGGCAACGGCACAAACGTAATTGGTGGAGGAGTTTGAGGATCAGACAATATGCCTCTGTGCTCGGTGGGATCTTCAGAGTGCCTTTATAATTGACAGCCTGTTTTGAATCCACTGCTGGATAAAGGTCTCCCAAAGCAGTGTCAGTGATAGTCGTTGTTTGACCATGCTGGTCAATTTGGGTTGCTGAAGAGGAGGGGGTGACCTAAGCCGTCGATTCTTCTAACTTCACTTGCATTAGCATTTCACACGTATCCTTACATTTGAGGACAAGTCGCCCTATATCTGTTTAACGTTTATTTGACTTGCGACTTCCTATTAGCATTGTTGGCTATGTACGGTACAAAAGACGTTCAACATAGGTACAACTTCATTTATTATTGTGCTGTGATCAGTCAACAAAATGTGACCAAACCGTCTTATGGTATGATAAATATAATATGCTCAGATTTCATTTCTATACGTCACTTTACTTGTTTTTTGTCATTTTGGTCACCCAGGTCACACTACGAAAGGAGACTCTACCCCTGGTCTTTTGCATTCTCATCCTGGTTAAACAAAATACATTCTCAACTGTACCATCTTGGACGCGAAGCCCTCTACAACCGATGCCCGTGGACAAATAATGTAGGCGTGCAAGCGGAACAAGAAATAAGTTTGAACCACCACGATGAGCTACAGCATTTGCAAAATGCATTTGCACAAAACACTCACTTCATAGTGGTGAAGGAGTCTTCCTTGAACCACGGCACAGTCAACCGTACCAGATGGGTTGCTGCGGAAACAGAGAAATGGTCACGCTCCAGTGTGGCCAGAGTTTACAAATCTGTATATTGTCTCGGATGACCAGAACTAACTGCATCGATCAACTCTCACCTGATGTGATCTCACAGGTGGGCTTGATATAAACAGTGAATGCCTGGTACACCTGCAGAGACAACAGCATGTATTAGGTGAGTGTCTTGCTTCAAATGTTAGTAGAAACGCAATTAACACCATGAGGTGTAAAGCCAAACAATTTATATTTTTTACAAATGTGGTTATGTTTCTGCAGATATTCAGCTGAAAAGTAGTTTAACCAACACATGACTTGGGCCCAAAGTAATATCTGACTTATATTAAGCATATCCTTTGCAATAGTGGGACAGCGTTTTGAGCAAATTACTCATTTGGGTTGCAGCCACATCGCCCCCTGCCTGTGACAACTTAAGAGCAAGATCCAAACAAAAAGTCTTGAGAGGCTTTCTTGCAAAACAAAACAAATTTCATTACGAAAAAAATTGCCTTTTTTAAGATTCTGGAATAATATTTCCACTTGCCTGTACGAAATCTGTGAGGTTAACAATATGCAGAAGTCCAGCAGAAGGTATGGACAGTGAATTGGAGGTCAGTCCTTTTGAGCAAAATGTAAAAACACAAAACATTACAACGATATTATAGCATCGTTATTCCTATCATTTCTTATCTATAAATGTAATTACTACCATTGTCAAACAATATTATAATTATGAAGGAATTTTGCATTTCCACCACTGGACACAGGCGTTGAACACTGCCCGAATGCTCATGTAAACAGGAAATCACAATGACTATTTTTATAATAATCACTACAATTTACTTTAAACAAGTTATGCAAACTCACACTTTAACTTTAAGCTAGAGCAATGACGTGCAATCATCTTGCAGCGCAGGTCGAGTTCAAAATCTCAAGGCTGGCTTCTCTGTGGGCCACGTGGTAACTTGGTGAACTTGAGGTGACATCAGCGAGAGTGACGCCCGTTAGCAAGAGTGATATCACGTAGCCTGTTCACAGCAAACAGTCCCCACCCCCCCCCCCGCGAGTTGTTTGCCCAGTGTTTGGCGTACCGCAGCGGTCGGCAACCTGCAGCCACGGAGCTGCACGCGGCTCTTTAAGGACTACTTCATGACGTTATTTATTAAGGACCACCGTCACGTGAATTGCGGGTCTTAAAATATTATATTTTTTTTACCAAAAACCCCCCAAAAATCGCTCTTATTGTTATTTTGGTTGCCGACCCCTGGCGTACCGGGCCAGTCAAAACCATGCCACAGGCCATTTACAGCCTCTTGGACCTTAACTTGCAAACAGCTGTGATGAAAAATGCCATTTTTTGGTTCTCTATAACTGCGTGAAGTACTCATGACTGAGCGCTGTGTTGGTGTGTACCTAGTGAGAGAGCATTGGTTACAGGCAATGCGCTGCTCCGATTGTTCCAGGCGATGAGCTCACACGCCAGGCTGCCCTGTCAACAGAACAAGGCCAGCGCAGGCTAGAAACGAGCACACACATGGACGATGCAGGAGTTCTCCCACATGCTGCGAGTCCACGTATCAATGTGTGTACGTGTATGTGTGGAGCGGTAGTGCAGCGGTTAGCGTGCTGTGCTGCGAACCCGGTGACCTGAGTTCGACTCCTGCTCATAGCCACCACCAGTGACGATTATCTGAACAGGTCATGGGCCTACCCTACGTCGACTCAACCTCAAATGAGTACCTGGTGTAGAATGTAAACATCGCCGCTGGGGAGACAAAGCCGGTTGGGCATGGTGCTGGCCACCCAACTCCTCGTGTACCGTGCTGGCCTTCATAGGCACTGCTCACTAACAGCACCTGTTCCAAAAGTCTGTTAAGGCTACAAGGGGGATCTTTATTGTTGTGCGTCTGTACTTACATCCAGGGCAGTGCTGCGTGCAAGGACGGCCACATGCGTTAGTGCTGGAAGATCCTCCAGCTTCAGCAAAACAGTCTGCAAGTGAAACAAAGTGTTGTTGCCAGGTTCAACATGTTCCCCTTTCTAGATCCCAATTAATGCGGCTTCGATGCCCGCAGTGATCGATAAATATCGGGCCGTTTCAAAGGAGTAGGCCTCACGTGGCCGTGAGGCGGTATTAAAGTAGCGTCCTATATCCCGGCCCACGGGCGTGAGGTTCCTCACCCTTGCTTTGGGGTTTCTGCAAACATGCAAACGAGACAAAAATGTTTCCTGTGAAAATGTTTCTTGCCTTAAGCGAGGGCAGCAGCTCTGCCTCCCAGGACAGGTCCACACCCTCCGTGCTGCGAACACAATGACACTGCCGATCAGTCCTGGCCAGCACAGCCTCAAACCACCAGTGCCCCAAACTCCAGCAGTATCCCCCTGTATGCGATGTTCGTCAGTGTTGGCAACTCCTTAAAGTGGAAATCCCCCACAAACGAACCTCACCAAGGCACCGGACATCACTAGAGAGACCTTCTGAAGTAATACATTATGTCACGAGACAATGTATAAAGTATCATTGTTAACAATACAGGATTCCGAATAGAGACCTGGAATCGCTTCTAAGTCTTCATATTTATTTGCGAGGAAAACCCAGCGATAAAACCGTGACGTTGGCGACACAGATGTTCAAAATTTGGGAAATTACTTTTTTAAGCATGTGGATCAGTGGTTTTGCTCTATTCGCAAAAACTCTAAGTAATAACAATATATACTTAGCCATTGTCTATCACTGTCATTCATTTATCCACGGAAGCATCAATTATTCTCAAAAGTTTTTCAGAAGGGTCCTGTGCTTTGGGACGTTTGGCCAATTGCTTTTTTAAGGAGTTTATGGCGAGTGGGAGGAAATCGGGGTAAGAACATCCACACGCGTAAGAGGAGATAGCATTCAATATTCTTTAGAGATGCTTTCAAGAACCCACTTGCTGCACTGCTATCTCTTGGCCATCTCACAGCTCAGCAGGTCTGGGAGTTTCATAAATGTTAGTGGTTCAACAGCCCTCGCATTCAAAGTAATGGATCACTTGTGTGTGCCACAATCTGTTCACTCCGTTCACCAATGTCTTACCAGGACGTCTCGTTGTGCACTGTGCATCCGTATAGCCAGCTGGTAGAGTCCTGCAGAAGTAATAAGTAATATTAACAAAAACTTATTTTTAAACATGCTTTTATGAAATTTACTAGTAATGTCAGAACTCCACGACTCCAGGAAGTGGCCCCGAAGCTTGCCATAACGTAAGGGGACCGTGGCCAATTACAGCCAACGTCAGTTGAGCATGGACAATTAGACCCAAGCCGAAACATAACATAAAAAAATAATGTTTAAAAACATATATTTTTTTTAATGATAGAATATAGTATTGTCATCAGTATGACATAAGCATACCAAGTTTGCAGTCGATGCCACATTGGGAAGTGGGTTAAAATTGAGTTACAAGATTTGAGGATACAACGACAACAGCAACAGAGTGAGTTAAAAGAAAGCGTGTAAAAACATAGTTTTGCTCTTTTCGCAAAACAACGTAGTTTATTTTATTCCATGTAGCTATGTAGCTAAGCATCTCCATCAGCCAAAGTCTATTCACTGCTGGATAAAGGCCTCCCCCCCATGCCATCACCATTCGCTCGCAGTCCTGCAATGGTCCAATCCATCTCACTCCTGCACGTGAACCGATCTCATCGCCCCAATTCACTCATACTCGCATCAGTGAAAGAAGTTCAACGTACATTTATCCGTAAATGTTGTTTATAACAAAACCACAATACTTACCAAGTTGTGACTTCGACAGTAAAGATGGCTGTAAACATCTGACAGCCTGGGGAAAGCGAAATATGTTGTTTTATAGCCCTAAGAGGATGGAACACAGAGCGCATTAGCACAGACACATGTGACCGACAAAACAACATACAGCACTACTCTCGTCATATATTCAAGCAACATCCATTATTCATGCATTATATATATTTTTGCCTTGATGCCCATCGGTTAACAATAAAATGTGCTGTTTTATGCAGGTAAACGTGTCGTTTAAGAGAAGCCTGATTAATGATTTACAGTGTCAGAGCACCTACTTGTGGAACTACGCTTTTAAAAGCCGACATGGCAAGCATTTTTGGCAGTGATAAATGATGGGCTGCATATGTTTTACAATTTGCAACATTATTCATTTCTGACTGCCCCTTGCATTACCTTGGCTTTTTGTAAAGTCCAGTGTGGCTCCTGCACAAAAACCCATGCGGCCCTGGCTGAAAGGAAATAAAAACACACACACAATTATATAAACGACGATCAATCATGCATATGCATGGATCCCGTGATGCTTTCCAACGCGCGTTTGTCCAATATGGAAGTCAATGTTAGGGCCGATGCATTTGCGTATTTGCTAATAGTTATTTTTGCATGCTTGATATTCAACTTTTGGGAAACCTTTTGATAAATATTTCTTATTTTCAAGTCCCTAATAGCACCACAACCTTACAGTAAAGTTTATTTCATGTTCGATCATTGTCACGAGTGGATTACGTGGACCAAGTGAGTGAATTATTATATTAATTGTGCAGCCATGCAATTGTAAGCATGTTAAGCTTCTTTCGCACCGTACGTAGCCAACCTTGCCAATCGGAGGTGCGGGGGAAGGACAAATTATTAGGTACGGAGAAGGTCAATTAAAACTTACCAACGTGGATTAAATTATCAAACATTTCAATCTCACCAGGGTAGGTTACTTCAAATGAATAAAAACGTGGATTTTCGAGTTCTTCCAGGACAACCTCCCCACCCCCCTACTCAAATGTTAATCATAAGCCGCCCACCCACCTTGAAAAGAAGCCGCGGGCCGTCGCTCGTGGGAGAAGCTGAGTCCGGGGTGCTGCACAAAGTGATGCCTCAGTATGGCCAACCTCTTCTCAGCATCATCCGTAATCTGGAGGTTGTCACGGCAACGAGTGAGAACAACAACAATAACAAGGAGCACAACCGGTCCATTGGGTAAAAGTGCAGCTCGTGAATTCAGTGGCAGACGCAGAATTCAGGAGTCAACACACAAAGAACTAGCTGCTGCGAAGAAGCGTTCAAATGAGGTTCTGCGCTTAAGATAGAAAAAAGGAGTTTAACCAAGAGTATGGCGCTCCACCAAAGTTATCTTACTAATTTACGTAAACATTAATTCAAATGTTAATTTGTAGTTATTCTATAACATGCAAAAGGAATGTCAACCGATTGGACTACAACACATCTTGCCCATTGTTCTCTGCTTATGAGATAATAGCGAGTTTAACCAGGGATTACATTTGCAGGATATATATCTGACTAATTTATGCATGCATTCATCAAATTCTTTCTGTATTTACTCACTGTATAACAAGCACAGGCAGTGTCAACCAAGCAGACCACAATGTGTCTTCCATTGTACGTGAGTCCACGTTTGACCAAAGGTACTTACTTGCCTGGTTTTGGAATCCACCATGTCAAAAAGAGCCCGTACTGTGGCCAGAACCAGCTCCTTACACCTGCGAAGACATTACTTTTACCTACAGAGCACTGGAAAGGTGTACCCCAAGTGTGAATAAAGAGGCCTATTTTAGCCACTTTAAATGTACGTCTGTGATGTCATCTTCTGGGGCCGTTTTGCCAGAAACTGCAGAGTTCCAAATAAATGTTTCTATTGTCTCATTACAGGATGCCAATAGCACAGATGGAATATAAACAGGGTGTAAAAATAAGCTATATCGAAGGTATTTTTATCGACCATTATTGCCATTTATATTTTGCAAGTTTCCAAAAAAGCAAATAACAGAAACAATCAGTTGCAATGTGGTCCCAAGGACAACTCAGATAACTCATTCTCTGTGCCCACCACAAGTTGAATAATCCTGCAAACAGTAACCCCTGTTAATTATTGATGTGGCCAAAACCATACTTACCAAACGATGGCTTGGTGATCTGTGCTAATCCATGTCTTCGGTACCGCCATGGCCTAGGGGTACATGGGTGTAATTCAAATGCAGAACATGTTTATGAAACAAACAAGCTCTTTATATTTTAATCATAATTTTCAGCCCTTTGTCAATCAACTGGTGAATGAATGCCTCCTCATGTCGTGTTGGTTATGCCAGTTATTTTTGTGTGGGTTGAAGAGAGGGCCCAGGCAAGGTTCAGATATCACTCAGGTAGCCAGGTTCAAAGTACAGTGCATGAACCACATCACCACAGCTCCACCCCTTTGATCTACTTATTGCTTTAGAAAACCAACAAAACCACAAGTAAAAAAAATATCTCTTTGCACATGGTAGAGAATGCGGTGCCATGGCCCAGCAGTAGGTGTGCGGTTGAAACCCGACAGGCTACTCTGGTTATTACTGCAGGTGTATTAACCATAAATTATGTACCGTCCTCTTCAAGTGCACACTAAAGATCCCGTGACATTATTAGAAATTAGTGTGCCTGCATCATGGTCCACAATTGGAAAAATTGAAAAATTACCTGCAAATTACTCAATTAAGATAAGACATAGCTCCATCGCCCCCTACTCTGAAACTACTACGGACTATGTATGTGAAACAGCACCTTCGTAATATCTTTATGCAATAATAATGGCACCAAAAACCAATGTACAAAATTATTATTTTCAACGGTGCATTCATTTGTCAATTAATAGCGATTTCTGCGCTCAAAATACAAGCATCGATTTGTGTATGTGAACATCAATTATTTACAATGTATGACACTTATATTACGTTTGGAAACAGGCATACAGCTAATCTTTAATTTGGATGAATGGAGTGAAAAACTTTGTACGGAGACAAAAAAATGTAATAAAAACAATGAAACAAGTAAAATCGACTCTCAAATAAAATCGCGATCCCAAACTGTGATCATTCATCGCATTGCTATTAAGGTTTCAAGGTTAATCGTTACATGCCTTAACAGGGAAATACAAAGAGGGGATGGAATGTTGTCTCGTTCACAGGCATTGCGTACCGTGACGGAGATGGTGTTGTGTTCGTCGGCCAGGCCGTTCAGGGAGGTGAGGCCGGCGCGGACCTGGGGGTCTCGGTGGGCACCCCCCACCGACAGCACCGCCACGTGGCCAAGGTCGTGGGCCCGCTCCGCCCAGCGCGTGTTCACCTGCTTGTGGAAGTCTTCGGGAAAGTGTGGCGATGGATCAAACAAAGGGTGTCGGCTGAGCACGGGGAACATGGTGCGTGGAAGGTTTGTGATGACCATATGGCAAATCTCTTCATACACGAAACTCACAGGATGAAGCCCACAACTACAGCTCTCCGGTGTAGTTGGACAATATTACTTGTTGTCACATTCTGGGAGCTTGTCAAGATCTTCAGTTCCAGTTTCCAGACAGCAGGGATGGGGAACCTTTTCCTTGATGACTGAATAGGATTTTAAAATATTTTTTACCAGCCCACCAATTAGTTAACACTTAACACTAATCTCTGATCACACTAGATTTGTATGGATTATTTGCATGATCAGAACTACTTGAAAAAAAAAAACAGGTGACGTGCATACAACCATGCTAATCACACCTCCGATTAGCATGGTTGGCTACGTACGGTGCAAAATAATTTCAACATAATTACAGAAGTGACCAATTTGATTTGTAGAGTCGTTAAAAGTGGTAAGTCTCATGTGGCTAGAATTAAATGAAGACGCAGGCTGTAACCGGCCCGTAGGTATAAGAGAGACCTTGCCTTTTTTATGATGATAGGCAGGGTGTTAATTGGTGTATGTGGGCACGAGCCACAGGAGCTGCGGCACCTGTGAGCAGCGGGTCCAGGGAGAGCACAGGGGCGACGTGTGGCGTGGCCTGCGTGATGAGCACCGTCACGAGCGACGCATCGAACGCCGGGTCGGCCAGCACGGCGCGAGCCACCACACCACCCATCGAGTGGCCCACCAGCACCACACTGCGCGGCCGGCCCTCCCCCTGGTGCTGGGGGCACGGCGCAGCGGTATAAGAATGAGCGTTTATGGCTTCGGTGCAAAAAACGGGCATCCTTCTTTGTACGGAACAGATACGTTCCTGAAAAGTTGTCCATAAAGCAAAATTCCGTATTTCGAACCCAACTTTCCAAATGACTTATATTATATAATCGGATATGTGCTCCTACATGAAATTTTTTTGGCTCAAAATGTAATAAATTACACTAAAGAATGCAGCAAAAAAATTTAAAGCACATATTTAATGAAAAATCGCTAATTTTACAATTACACATTATTAACAATGCTCAAAATAAGTCACAAAATAAATATGTATAGAACCAGAAACTGTGGTGAAATGTACGCCAGCGACAAATGACAGACCATCCATTGTTCTATTTTACCCGCCAAAAACCACAAGATCAGAGCGAGAGATCACAAGATCAAGGCGATGACTCGTGACTCACCTTGTAGAGGGAGAGAACGGCGTGGACGCAGCGCGTGGCAAAGTGCACCTGCCGCTCCAGTACGCCTCCGTACAGCGCCGCCAGCTCCTCATTGTAGCTCACCGAGTACACGTCCAGGTGGAAGTGCACGCCGCGCAGATCCTCCGCCTTCCGCAGCGCCACCGACGCCAGCGACCGCACTGCCAACAGAGCACAGCGTAAGTGCTCCAAAAAATTATCTCCGGATGGAATCCACCTGTTTGGCGAAATATCCTTGTTGGAAATATCTTGGTCAAAAATGTGCTGATGTCTCCATCATTATCGCTCGCTTTCAGATGCGCTTCTGCGGGCCATCTGGAATGGTCTTCCTTCTGATATTAGGAAGCCACTGGAGCTATGCACTTTGAAATCTAAATTGAAAACTAATTTCTTCAGAAATGCTTTTTGTGTTTAGTTTGTTGTCCTTCCCACGCTCCGCCGCTTAGCACAGTTGGCTACGTACGGTGCAAAAAAAGTTAAGCGTACAATACAGCAACGATGGGTTTCAGTGGTTTTGTCGAGATACAAATCTGGCCCGATAGGTTTACAAGAGTGGAACAGGGATCATTACAAGAGGCACAGGGCTCGTTTCCTACATTGGATAAAACACAGGCGGTCTCAAGGGCCTCCTCGTCAAAAAAAGTACTGCATAATGCTCTGGGCTATATTTGAATTAGGTTAAAAACATGGCAGAGCTGTTCCCAAAATTAAAAAGCAGTTAAATGTCTCTCAGCTCAAGCAACCATTGAGCAGTGCTTATTTCCACTATGGACCCTGAAGAAGTCATGAAAATTTAATATAACTATGGTGATGGCCAGTCTCTCCCTAGGTTAATAAAATTGTTCCCTAGAATACAAATGGCCAAGTTGAGCCCTGGCTGGGAATTTTACCTGAAATCTTATTGGGAGTTGAGCGCTCTGACCACAGCACCACCCAGCAATATTTCAAATGACAGCCCCGAAATGTAATAGCCTGGAAGAATAACCGCACTCATTGGAAAGTTACTTAAACATCATACTTCAAACCTTCAGCAGCCAGGGCCAAAGCATGTTCCATGCAAGACAGCAGCCACCACATCTTCAACAGAAGACAGTTACCCACACTGTCATCACATATAGGAGCACCACCGCTGTCCGCCAGCGCTTGTAGAGGTGACGAGGGGATGAATTTGCAGCACCCACCTTGGCGGTGGCTGCCAGCGTTGCCGGGGAGGAAGAGCACGGGAATGCCATCGGGCCGCAGGCTCTGAAGGGCTTCAGCATACGGGCCCTCTCCGTACACAAAGAGATCGTACCCAGAGCGCCTGTGCGGCAGGGCAGGCCGCACAGCTGGTTTCTATACAGCACACATCATGGCACAGCACACAACACTATCGTCTGTACTTATTTTACATTTTTATGAATCTAATTTTAATGCGAATGTACTATCGGTGTTAAATAATCCAAGTATCCATTGAGATTTATTTCATAGGAGTGCAACACATTGTGTTAAAGAACAGCCCACGGAAGCAGATATCAAAGAGCTACCTCTGACATAACTTCAAGTGAACTTCTATTCCACAAAATAGGGGGGCAGCACTTTCCAACCAACTCTGCCACCGAGTAATATTTGTTTCATAATTTAACTTTAGCCACGTTGAATAATACGGTAATCACATTTAACGTGGTATATATTTTTGCTGACATTACTGTCACCAGTCTCCCCGAAAGAATGACTACGGTTGACTTCATTGCCCATCTTTTCGACCCCGAACGGATGATGAATCCGCAAAATGTCCGAAGCACTACCATATGGCCAGGACAGCGCACGGACACAATGATCAAAACAAAAATGAATGCGAACATGCATACAATAGTGGACGCAAAAAAAGGCAACATTTTTTTTTTGGAAACGGGACACTTACATAAATGAAACTGGACATTTCGAGGGATACAATTCCGACACGGCTTGTACGTTTCTGATCGTGTTGTGCTGCTCTCTTTTGCCAATTCACCGCTTGCCAAGGACCTCACCCCCCCCCCCCCCCCCCCAACGACTTGCAGGCCGCAGAGGTTATTTGACCGACACTTTTCACCACGCTGGTGAGTTTAAGGGTCGAAGGCGCGGAACAACAGACGTTGAATGACAGAATACTGATGTAGTTCTAGATTTAAAGCTTTCGTGACTGGTTCTATTGGGTAAAGTCACGTAGGTGAAAATAAAATAACAAAAAAATTAACAAAAAAATCACAACGTTTCGGCCACAACACAAGCGGCCTTCATCAAGTGAAGGGACGAGACTGTCAGGAGGACAGCGCTGGAGTGGAAGAAGCCACGCTCAGATTACGACCTTTAAGCTGTGTAAGAAGAAAAACACCAAGCGCCTTGACAAAGCAATTAGCATATAATTTAGCATTGAAATGGCTCATTGAAATAGCTAAGTTAAAGTATACACATCCTCCTGACAGTCTCGTCCCTTTACCTGATGAAGGCCGCTTGTGTTGTGGCCGAAACGTCGTGATTTGTTGTTAATTTTTTTGTTATTTTATTTTCACCTACATGACTTTACCCAATAGAACCAAAGAGTACTGATGTAGTGTTTATTTGGTCCTCTCACATCGGTTTACTGTATGATGGTTGGGTATTTGGAGTCCTTTAGCGTCCTTGTGCTAAATGCCTCTGTTGATATGTAAACTTTGACTTTAACATAGCTATTTCTGTCACAAGCTAATCCCTCAACTATTTCAATGCTAAATTCTCCGGCTTTGACACGTAAACTCCTTTGTCAAGGCGTCTTCACGCCTCTCGCCGAGCTTAAAAAGACGCTGCGAATCTTAGCAGCGTTCATTGAAGCACTGCCGTCCCCGACAGTTCTGTTCTTTCACCTGAAGAAGGCTACTTGTGTTGTGGCCGAAACGTCGTGAGAATGTTTTATTGCCTTATTTTATATTGTATTATTCTCATTCTACGTGACTTTACCGAAAGAACCAAGAAGAAGAATACTGTCGCTTTCCTCCTTACAATGCCCTCTTCTGCCCACAACGAAGCCTCGCAGCAGCCCGTGACACCTGCTGTGCACGGTCATGATGGCGGCAGCAATGTCCAGGGGCTCACAGCTGCTTCATTCTCCCAGGGATCCGTCGCATTCCGTGGTCATTGTGATCATACGCGTACAGTACAGTCATAGAATCATTTTGAATTCCTGCGGGAGAAGACGCTACGAGAGGGACCCGAGGGAGCAGTGAGAGAGAGATTCCCGTATCACTCACCACGTCGATGTACTCCGGGTACTGGAACATGTAGGTCATTGTGCATTCGTTCTCCTGGAATCCGAGCAGCACATCCCAAGTGCCCAGAGCCAGCAGCAGCAGGCAGCTCGCCTGCAGCAGCACGGAACCCCACGACATCCCCAGAGACTCGCGCGCAACGCAACGCGCGCAACGCAACACACACACGCACCGCTGATATCTCAAATAACAACGACAACACCTGCCTACAACGATCGTGTTACCGCCGCTGCTAAGGCGCAGTCAGAGATACTGAATGACGCTTCACAGGCACACCGCGATCGATGACTACAGCGCGATAGACAGCGGACACGAAGCGTGGCAGCACCGCGTCAGAGTCAAATTCACGCGACGTTGCCGACGGTTTTCCGGGTGCGCATCGATTCGGCGATTCTTCCACACGGCGCTGTCGTATTGTAGATATCGATAATCGATTCCAGCAAAGTCACCACAGGGGCGGTGGCGGAGGGCAGCGAAATTCGAAGGCCCTTATGCAGCCGAAACGTTGGACTGTGTATAGGTGGGCGGCAAAGCCATACGGCTGCTGTGTTCTGGCCCTGCACTATGGTTCTTTCGGTAAAGTCACGTAGAATGAGAATACAATAATAAATAAAATAACACAAAATTGTATTGTGTTTTACCATCACTACCATCACTACCACGAAAGCTTTAAATCTAAATGTAAATCTGCACTATGATTTTTTATTGCACTATGTAACACGATTTTTGTCCCTGGGGAGTAAGTGTTATTTTCTTATTGCTTATGCCTCAAAAAGTACAGAAAATGGCTATTATATTGTTATTCCCCACAAGCTTTGCTTTTGTGACCAGGACTCTTTACGTGAAGGAATGATACAAATGCACACACCACGTTTTCTCATTGAAAATAGGAAAATTTCAAAATATCACTGTCTTGGTCACAAAAGCAAAGTTTGTGGGGAATAATAATAGCCATTTTCTGTACTTTTGAGGCATAAGCAAATTGGAAAATAACACTTAGTACCCAGGAACATTTTTTGTTTTGTTACAGTGTTATCATTGCATCTGTGAAAAAGAGCTGTGTAGCTTCGTCGGATTTCTCCGGTATAAATATTTCGATTGTGATGTTGTTAAACTCCAGGGAAAACATCATTGAGTCTTATGACTCTTTTGTCAGGAGGGTCCTGCCAAGTGTTCGTAGTGGGAGAGCGATGTCCCTGCTCATTGTTGTGTACTGTCATCGCATTTGAGTGATGTGCAGGTAATGTGTCAGCCATAGTACAGGTTTTTGGGCGGTTAGATCGCGGATATTCATGCAATGTTCTGATTAATATTACGCGATCTAATCCAAAAAAATCTATATTATCGATATTGGTCGCGAAAGCCTATACGTGTTAAACTAATGTGGCGGCATTGGCATATTTGGCCGATATCAGTGATATGCTATTTCATTCTTAGCTTCGGGAGGAAACCTGAGAACACGTATAAAAACCTTTCTCGAACAGGGAGAGAACATACAAACTCGACACATATATAGACACTCACTCTGCAGGACAGGGGGGCATTTAAACCTCACAGAGAAAGGTAGACACGAGTCAGGAGTCGAACCCAGGTTTTTCTTGTGCCAACACTGCGCCACAATGTCACCAAAATTTAAATTGAATTGAATGCAAAAATACAAACAATGGTTGTTATTATTATCTATACCCAGAAAAGCCTCAATGATTCTCGTTGCTTTTTCAAAATGATCCCGAAAAGCTTTTTTTTCAGTAGGGGTGATGATTAATATGTAAACTATAGCTTGTTATTTCAAATATGCGGGCAATTTTCAAATTTGGACCATGACAATAACCGATATCTACACGGCAAAGAATTACAAGAGGCTCATACATTTGAGTGTTGACCAAATTCCATAAGTGAGTTTTTGGCTCTCAAATGTAACCAAAAAAACTGAAACTACTGCGAAAAGAGCAACAAATCACAAGAGCGTGAGTGGAGACTGCAAATGGAAGTAGATGGTGATTAAATGTGAATCTGCTTTGAGATTAGAGCAGAAATGGAATATGTTGTGGGGGGGGGACAACTCAAATAAAACGAAAACCTGGAGGTTTTTACCTGTTACAAGTAAATGTATTTCCCCTCTCATCTGGCACCGCTACCTATAACCACGCCCCCTCCAAAACGCGTCACCCCCGCCTATATAAGCGCCGCGTCGCCTTCCCACAATCCCTTTCGTTTGGTCGCTGTCGTCGCCAGGTTCGTGGAAAGGCTGTGGAGCGCCTACACAATCCGCATCCATCCATCCTCAAATCCTTGTGCGAATGTCGCGAAAGTTTTAAATCCTGCTTCGCAGACGCTAATTATTTCCTTGTTTGCGTTCGCAGGACCAACTTGGCAAGATGCGGGCCAAGGTAAACGTGTAACGCATTCGTGCGTCGCTCGCCTTAGACGGCGCCTACCCAGCAAGGCCACAGTGCGCCGACAGTCTTTATTTTTTTTATTGTTGCAATCAAGAGCATTGTCTTGGTGTGGGTAAATTGTGCCGTATCGTTGTGGACAACTTATAAATGTATTGTTAGCGGCGGCCGTATTTTAATTGAGCATAAATCCTGCTCCCGTCTTTACGACGCAGTGGAAGGTTAACGCTGGGCCTTAAAATGACGATTGCCAATTGGCTCAGGAAAAAACCACGTGTGCGGAGCAGACCAATTGGCAGTCGTATCTGTGGTCAAGACTCGCGTGTCGGGGCAGGGAGGGCTTCATTGTTAACACGGACTTTTACGTTTTTAGGGATTTTGTTTTTGTGTGTTCGGGATTACCCCAAAGTTGTGTTGTGGCCGGTGGATAACGTTTGAAGCGCCCAGACTTAACGAATACAATACCTCTTAGACATGCGCGAGTTACAGTATATAGCAGAATAGGATGGTATGCAGGGTAATGATTGTTAAATCGATAGGCTTTTAATGTGCGTAATGCTTGTTCAATAGTTGTGCGGATGCGTGTCGCATATGTATAGCAGTGTACGCCAGTCGCAAGTAAATTATATGTACTGTATATGCCAATTGCAAACGCGAAGTCCAATGTTGACGTTAACAATGCTGTCCCGTTAATGGTTGTTGACATGGGGCATTAAGTTTAATGGCCGGTATACAAAACATGTTTATCCGTGTTAACAATATTTTCTCTTTGCAGTGGCGAAAGAAGCGCATGCGCAGGTGAGAATGTTTTTCAAAGCCCGCATTGCGTTGTAGAGACCGAGTGGCTTTGGCCACCCTCTCGATATTTCACTGACCCAAATGTACAATAAAAATTTTTACCAGCTTAGATCCATAAATGATGACGTGAACGTTGAAAGAAATTCCTTAATAAAATGAAAGAGTGAGATTAAGCATTTGTGAAAAAATGCGGTTCGTGATTTGTGTTATGTAAGATTTGCCCTCAGAAGTGATAACGCAGTTTGACTGCATACGTTAAAACACTACTGTAACGTTTCCTGTCATCGAGAAAAACGAAAATTATTTTGAGAGCGTGGTGAAAACTGCTATGCTGTTGACACATTTTGGTCCTCTTGTCACCTGGTGACAACAGGCTGAAGCGTAAAAGGAGGAAGATGAGGCAGAGGTCCAAGTAAACCTGCCAATGCTTCGCCACACGCTGTCCGACCACGGAGCCCAAGGCTTGGGGCGGCGCTGGGTGTGATGAAACGAGGATGAACCAAGCTGCCCGAGGTCTTCCCACTGCCAAGGGCTGCCCAAGCGCTCGCCGTGTGGGGCTGTACATCGACCTCTGAGCATCAGTGATGGAGGACGCCCTCCATTCTGCTTGATGTTTCAGAGCGGGACCTTTTCCAACACTCCCGGGCAACACCCCCCCCCTCCCTTTGCCTTGGACTATCCATGTTATGACTCCTGTGTGATATAGTTGCCAATAAAAGCTGGTTAACTGTTTTTCTGGATTCACTGTCTTGTGATTACACGAACAGTGTGCACTACAATTCCACAATTTAGTCAATTATGGTTTGATACATTTTACAAACGTTTTCGAAAGTGCATAAAATGAATTTTAAGCTTACATTGTACAACCCACTCGACTGCATGATATGAAGACCAGTGTACCTGTTTGCAAGGATGTCTAAACGATTTTTTGGAAGATGGGTTTTTACTGCAGTGAAGAACCTAGATATTCCACTTTGGTCTTCGATATGTAAGGTTATTGCATTGCAGTCACGGTGCAACATATCCCCTGTACATTTCAACTGATGGCCCTTTAAATTGTTTCTTATAAGATGGGCTAAGATAAATCTGCATTTGGGTATAAAATATTGATGGAAAACATCCAAAACCGTTATACCTTTATGGAACCAACTTTTTCAAAATCAATGTTAAACTGCAAATGCTTTGTTTCAAACTACATGCATAGTTTGACATGGAGACTTTTGTCTATAAGCAGATTGAGAAAGGGTTTATGAAAAACGTTATTTGAAAATGTTCAAAATTCATGAGTTGCATCGGAGATTTGGGTAATTGAAAGTTATGCAGTTCTAATGGGGTACACTGGACAATACAGGGTAATATCCAGTCAGTGAATTGGCTTGGTGACCTTTGAATGTTAAGGTCTGTTCACTTGGACTTCCAAGTATAGTACTGTATAAAAACAGGACATCGCTTCTGCTTCATCTGATCTGCTATTGGTGCTTCCAACTGCCGTTCAAGTTCGATGCCAGCCAAATGCACGTTGCACTTTTGCACTGTCTTGAAATGCGGCTGCATTTAGATTATATAAATCCAATCTTGGATTGCACCCATCGTGGGCGTTGGTGGGATCGGTTACGCTTCAAATATTTAATCGTGAAGGCCAAACCATACCCTACTTGTCCATCTGGGCAAGCGTGGCTACCTACAGCCCAAGTTCAAAATCATTCCATCAGCAATTAACCGCTATTGTCAGTACCAACATCACAACCAATACTACCGCAGCAGAGGCACGTCATTGATTTTATGAGCCCAATGACTGCCCAACATGAGCCTCAACCACTTGCATTGCCAAATCAATCAAAGGTTTGGAATACCCTACTGGTATTAAAATATAAACTAATCAATGGAAAATTATAGATCCACTTGCTTCTACAAAAAAAACAATTACAAACTTATCGATTAATCCTTGCAACCCAAACCCAGAAATCACAGTATGCGGGCATTGTATGTACGGTATATTATATGGCGACTCATCTACTTACGAACCAGACCGAGGGTTGTAATTTCAACCCCCGCGCAATAAATTGCGGTGGTGGCATTTACATCTGCAGAACGTGAACAGCCAGTGGTATCTACAGGAGATTGTATAACTTTTAAAGTCGTCCCCCGTGTTTAGTGCACATGCCGTATCAATGTGTTTGGAATCAACAGGAGTAAAGTTGAACTTACGAACAAATCGACTTACGAGCAGGCCTCTGGAACCGAACTCGTTGGTAGGTAGGGGGAGTACTGCATGACCATCAATGCTAAAACCAGGAGGAGACCCCGCCTACCATGGGGGAGGGGGCGGGGTTTGCGCGGGTTACCTGTAGGTGATCCCGCCTACCATGGGGGAGGGGCGGGGTTTGCGCGGGTTACCAGGAGGAGACCCCGCCTACCATGGGGGGGGGGAAGGGGCGGGGTTTGCGCGGGTTACCAGGAGGAGACCCCGCCTACCATGGGGGGGGGAAGGGGCGGGGTTTGCGCGGGTTACCAGGAGGAGACCGCGCCTACCATGGGGGGGGGTTGGGGGCGGGGTTTGTGCACTCTCGTGACGTCATCGTCACCTCGGTCACGTGCTCGCCACTTCCGCTACTCCCCTTGTTGCGCATCGTGTTCGTCCCTCGAGGTGGGTGCCCGTTCCGCTCGCGTGCGAAGTCTCCCAACTCAATCCACTTCCATCCGCCGCTATCAACGCGATTTCAGACCGCGAATTGTATACTGCCTACGTCTAATCCGTTCTCTCTTGTCGGCCGCGTGTGTTTTTGTTGTCCGTGCGCAGGAGCGGCTTGACGACATGAGGGCCAAGGTACCGTGTGGTGTCGGCGAATGTCGTGTGTCGTGTGGGGTGCCATGCCCCTCGTGTCGCAGCTATACCGCTGCTGTCTCTTCTCACGTTTATACACGCTATGTTTTTGTGAAACATCTGCTTATGAAACTATATTCACGCGAAGTGGGTTAATTCACGAATGCTCCGGTAATGCTCTCTTTAAAAAAGAAAACCCCATTGATTAGGGGTGTGCCCGGATAACAAGTGATAAGCTACACAAGCTTCATGGTTGTTCACGGGATTTTAGTAGCAAGTCATGCGCTGTCTTGAGTGGCTGGTTTACGTTTTGCTTTAGTAGGCGGCTTGCCTTTTGTTGGGTGGATTAAGTGAACTGGGCGAAGTCTTTTAAATCTGGTGTGCGTTCAGTTGTGGGAAGACGATAGTCTGCAGCAATGAGCATATTGTGCTCGGTCAGATCTCGAAAGCTAAGCAGGATAGTTTTTTGCGGCCTGTATTGTGTTTGCATGGATGGGCGACCATTGCGTGAAACTCGTGTTTTTGTAGGCTTCTGCAAGGCCACGTTATGATGGGCAGCAGAGGGCAGTGTTGCAAAATGCATTGTCTACAATGTGCCCACGGCAGTGCTCCGTGTATCCAGTATGGTCAACTAACCCCGATTAGCATGGCGTGGGGAGATGATCATCGTCATCCAGCAGTGGATTTGCAAAGGGGTTGTACGTTTTAAAGCTTTCGTGACTGCAAGGATTCATCTTCTTTGGTTCTTTCGGTAAAGTCACGTAGAATGAGAATAAAATAATAAATTGATAAAATAAAATAACACAATAAAATTCTCACGACGTTTCGGCCACAACACAAGCGGCCTTCATCAGACAGTCTCGTCCCTTCGCCTGATGAAGGCCGCTTATGTTGTGGCCGAAACGTCGTGAGAATTTTATTTTATCAATTTATTCTCATTCTACGTGACTTTACCGAAAGAACCAAAGAAGGGGCTGTATGTGTTTACATTACATGTGGGATATCAAGTTTTATCCCAGGGCACCTAATTTTTTTGCAGGTTTTGGACCAACCCGTGAGTCTTCTCGATCGTTGTTTTTCCAGCAGAAGTTAATTTATTATGAACAAGTTACTTGTGTGTGCACCCTGTTGAGCGAATGTGATTGCCTGTTATAGGGCCTGTTGTGTGCTTATGTTAACTCGGGCTGCTTTGGGGAGGGAAGATGGCTTTTACAGCTTTAAAGTTGAAAATAAACGACGTTTAAATGTCTGCCCAATTGTTAATCACGTGGCGTGTTGTCTCCCCAACAGTGGCGTAAGAAGCGTATGCGCAGGTGAGACGGTGACTGCATTGCACTTACTACCATCACCCTATTGTGAACAACAAATCCAGTCTGCTAAACAATTCGTTTGTACAAATTAGTATATAATGCACACATGTAATATGTATATGAAAACAATAACTCATACGTTTGTACGGTGCTTTTGGAATATGCCCTTGAAGAATAATTCACACATGCCTGAGTTGGCTATGCTGTGCAGTATTTGACATTGAAATGCTGTAGCAGTTGTATGTTCATGACAGCGTTAGAGGTGTGCAGTGTTTGTGTGGCGTGGCTTATGGTGCTGGGTTAAATGTTCCTGTTATTCATCCGTGGCCTGCCCCACACGCTTGGTTTAGGCTGAAGCGAAAGAGGAGGAAGATGCGTCAGAGGTCCAAGTGAGCAGGCCTCTGCTGTCCGTGAGACGGGGCCATCTCCTCTCCCCCTGCGGGCGTCACTCATCTCAGCCCTGCCGCACGTTCTGCCACCAGGACACCAACCAGAAGCGGCCACTACACTCTGACATCGTCTTTGGAGCCGTGCTATCCACATTTCGTTGTTTTTACCTTCTGTGTTAATAAATGCTGATCCTAAAACACGATAACTGAATTGTGGTTTTTCAAGTTTGGGTTTTGGAAATTAAACGGGCACCAATTGTACTATGGGTACTAAAACGTCACGTATCTGTGTGCAAAGCCAATCCATTAAATATCTATCTTGGTACCCAGTTGGTATGTTAATTGCATGTTCAAATTCTGAACATGCTCTTTTACGCTCAAATGTCGAATGGTGAAAACTGGATAAACAAGCCGCAGCATCTTAACTCCAATTGATGCACAGTTTAACCTGACATTCTGCAGGTTAAACTATGGCCTTTGTGGTGTCCACATTTTCTGGTAGAATAAAGAAATGCTTTTGTAAAAATGTTCTCTCGTTGACCACACGCTCAGCTTGAGTAGTACTGGCATTTTAGAGAACCGTATTTAACCCAGATGGCCCTGCCAAGCAGGGCGGAGCCAGGATTTTGACTTTTGGGGGGGCTGACTTCAATATTCTGAGATATCCAGTGTTTGTTTTCCAATGGGCGCCACAAATGTATGAAACACATTGGATTTGAACGCGGAGTTTATTAATAGGTCGGAGCCGCTGATGTGGCTAATAAGTTATAAAGGCTGCCGCTCATGCAGCCTGCAGGGCAGCACAAGGTGGCAGCCTGCAGCATTTTGCAGCAGCCAGATATTCGGTTATCCTGATTACCGACTTTCCCAAAAATTTCAGGGGGGCTAAGCCCCCCCCCTAGCCCCCCCTGTGGCTCTGCCCCTGCTGCCAAGTCAGTAAATTGCCAACCATTTGGTACAATCTAGTAAAGTCGGATCACTATAAAGTAAATGTTTATTTAAATGTGAACTACAAGTATTGTATGGGTAAATGAGTTTAAAGAATACAGTCTAAGAGAATATTGCTCCAAATAGATGTTTTCATGCCAGTCAAATTCATAAACGTGCAGAATTACATTTTAACACATTTCGATTTGCATTTAATGCATAAATGAGTTGCATAATTTAATTGACGCTACCCAAAAAGTCTACTTAATGATATAAAAACAATGTTAGCCCCCGTTTTTAGGTATAGTAATATATATATAGAATACTGTAAAGTATAATGCATCAAATATAATCAACTATATATTCCCCAGCTTTAACATCAAACAATGGTACACTGCTGTATTAAAAAAGTGGGTGAAATCCAGTACAGTATGGTAAATTTTCATTACCAAAGGGTTGTAAATTAAAACTAAATTGTGGAGTAGAACGTGGTATCAAATTGTTATTGCTCAGGTAGCAATGTTCTTAAATGAAAACCCGAGGTAACAGTTACGTTCTCGCCAGTGAACCAATAACCTATCCAAATCCAAAGTCTTGACATTCATTTTTATTGCACTTGTAAAACCAATACGTTCACAATCACCACTGGGTGGGGCTAAGCACAAGCAAACAAAAAGGGTATCACCCCAAAAAGCTCAACGGGGACCCGCAATTCATGAAAAATTATGGGTGAACCGAATGTCGACGAGTTACATGAATCATTTGGCGGGACCCAGGGGTCCCACAAAAAATCAGGTCAATAATTATTTTTCAGTCCGCCCACTCGTGATCCCAACAGCAACGCGCTGCCCGCCCAGACTCGCGCCAACAAGCACCAGCAGGTGGCGATCAACACGATGGGCGCCACCCCACCGGCCAAACGCAAGCCCCGGGGGGCGTCCACTGCAGTCGCGCACGGCGACAACGCCCTCCGGTCAGCCGTCGATCCTCAGCTTCTTTGCCAAGGCGAGCCCGCCCCCCAGGCAGTGAATTTAACGTGTTTATGTAATTTTTCAGCTTTTTACGAAACTTAGCGCCCCGAGTAGCTCTCGACGAGGCCAATCGATTGACACTAGTTTTGTTGTCGGTAAGGCAAGACTCGTGTCGCTACGTGGTTTTTCCCACCCCGGAGCAGTGATGGGACCCCAGGGTCCCGCCAATTGCTTCATATCATCCTTGTATTTTCTCGTATTGCGCCATCTTTGTCTCCTAATAATCATTTATCCAGGAGAGCCTGAGTAAAGATTTATCAGATGTCCTGCATTAGCTTTTTATTTTAAGATATCATCACCCAATCCGTGTGTTTTTCGTGTGGGGGGAAACCGAAGCACCCGAATAAAAACCAAGCACGCGAGTGGGCAACACTGATCTCCATACAGATGTAGTGACAGCCGCTTACTTGTACAGCAGCTGCAACTGCAGGTGGTCACTTAGCGCACACGCCATTCAGCACATACACGAGTGTGTGTGTGCCGGCAGGGCGGATGAACTGGGGCAAGGGTCACGGTAGACCTCGTGGGAGGCCCTTGGAACCCTCTGGTGGGTTCGAGAAGGGAGGCGCCGCTAGGGCGGAGCCAAGCTGCGCCGAGGGGAATAAAAGCAGCGGAGAGCGAGAGCTCCAGGCCGCCGGTGCTGGGAGTGGACTCGTCTCTTCGTCGCTGTCGTCGTCGTCACCGCCTTCGTCGCCGCCACCTTCGCCCGATCATTGCGCGGCCGGACAGTCGTTGGCTGTCGCGGTCGACGCCGTCGGTGCAACGCGGACAGGGTCGTGTCTGAGCCGGGTCGTACGGCAGCGTGGTCGTGAGAGAGAGGGGGCCAGAGTTGGTGGCGTGAACACAATAAAAGGGAAGGACGGTGCCTCCTGCGACTACCTCGTCTCAGGCTGAGTGTGTGCGCGATACACGCCACCCGCACATACGCACACCACAAGCCTCTAGAAGAAGAAGAGACCTACAACACTACACAGATGGAGGTTAGACCACTTGTCGTACGGCCTTCTGCTGGCAAGCCAGGGTTTTGGCACCTCAACGCCTATGGGGAGTTTCACAACATTTGTGTGATCCACCAACCTTTGCCTCCACTGCTGGATTACAAACCTGTAGAGCCACCACCACCTGGAGTTTGGACATACAGTATCTCATTTCACTGCATCAGTCTCATCTATTTTTCTTCTGAGACGTATTTTTATCAACAATTCTCTAATTTCACTTACATCCATAACTCCTGTCTATATCTCTTATGTCATCTCACGAACTTTTGAAATCTAAAGCGGGGGAGGGGAAACATGTTCTGATTTAGGCCCCCAATGGATCAGCACCACCATTGCACAGCACCATACCCCTTGTGGGCAATGCAGCTTGAGCATACGTTTTTAACATCCACTTTATAAGTCACAGCACTTTGATAATGCCCAGCATGAACCTGGTGCTGGTGTGTGCAAACTGCCAGTGTCAAGTCCTACCATTAGTCTATTTTTACATGTCCATGTTGGCACAAATGAATTTTGTCCGAAAAAATGTTTTAAGCTGTGGTTAACAAAGTCTTGATCTGTGTAATTCAGAACTTCACTGTTTTTAACTGTTAATTTAAAAACTATTTTCTGCTAGAATGGTATTTTTTTAATGTTTTCCAACCACTTTTTTTTCTAAAGGCATCTGTGAGGAATTTCCTGTACTACAGATAATTGTATTTATGCTTTTTATGTCAAGACTAAATGCGTCAACCCCATGGAAACCGTAAATGATGATCTTGTATCAACATGCGGTTTTGTGAAGGGGTTACGGGTGGGGGTATTCTAAGGGCTGGGCCAACAATAAAAACTGAACTCGTCCATCCAGATTCACCCACCGTGTTGGCCAGATGAACTTCGAGCTGTATAGCATTCTTACCAAACTTTCTGACAGCACATACCAGACAAGTCTTACAAAGTACAGCGTTCCACGTACAAAGCAGAACAGATAATGCTTCGTCTTCATACGCAACAGGCCTTCCTCGTGTTCTCCGCCTCTGGCGGGTGGTCGATGCGAATGGTCTCGGCTCGCGCTTCCACGATCGTCCCCTCACTGTTCTCCGCCAGCTTCTTGGCTACGGGAGAAAATAAAAAAAATGCGAGCTCACAAGACACCAAGGGTGTCAATTAAAAATGAATTGTTCTCACACTGCTGCTCATCCTCACTCAAAATACAGACAATCCTCTTATTGTCAAATCCGATGTCTCAGGTTCACATCTTCACAAGCATTGCAGGTTCCTGTTCACTGCTGCCAACAGGTAAATGAAACGGGTACATTGAGAGTTGGTCCCCCTGGGACCAAGACGACAATTGGCGTCAACAATTATATTCTTGGTTCTTTCGGTAAAGTCACGTAGAAGGGAAACAATAAAAATATAAAACAATAAAATTCTCACGACGTTTCGACTGCAACACAAGCAGTCATCATCGGGTGTGAAAACCACAACACGAAAATTTGAGAAAAGTGGCGTTTTTTTAACGTTAGCACCACGGATAGCGATTTGACAGTTTGTTCAGATGGACGAGTCCATCTATGTTCAGAAAAGAGGAGAGGGGGGGGAGACGAAAAATAATGGATGCGGTCTGAAAGCCACCTTAAGCGTGATCAATCAATTAAGACCCGAAGTGGTTTATCAAATCCTTCCAATGATTGCTAAGCCAGAATCTATCTTCTCGGTTGAAATTGTCTCTGTGTTTGATTATGTGGATAGCCTCATGAACGAATCTCTCATGGTAGCCAGATGGCTTGCAAAGAAGTCTTGGAGAAGTCAATGTCATGTGAACCTACTGAAATATAACAGTGATTTGCAAGCCATCTGGCTACCATGAGAGATTCGTTCATGAGGCTATCCACATATACAAACACAGAGACAATTTCAACCGAGAAGATGGATTCTGGCTTAGCAATCATTGGAAGGATTTGATAAACCATTTCGGGTCTTAATTGATTGATCACGCTTAAGGTGGCTTTCAGACCGCATCCATTATTTTTAATCTCCCCCCTCCTCTTTTCCGAACATAGATGGACTCGTCCATCTGAACAAACTGTCAAATAGCTATCCGTGGTGCTAACGTTAAAAAAACGCCACTTTTTTCAAATTTTCTTGTTGTGGTTTTCACACCTGATGATGACTGCTTGTGTTGCAGTCGAAACGTCGTGAAAATTGTATTGTTTTATATTTTTTATTATTTTATTGTTTCCCTTCTACGTGACTTTACCGAAAGAACCAAGAATATGAATCCCTGCAGTCACGAAAGCTTAAAATCAAAAGTCAACAATTATTTTTGGTTGCAAGCCAGTGGAAGGGCGGGTCGCTGCAAGACCGACATCCTCCACAGAATCGCCCTGTCTGCATCCATCACGCAGTCTTTACCCAACATCTGGGCTCAACATCGTCTCAGCACATCTCCTGAATTCACAGACATTGAATCAAACAAACACAACAATACCACAAAGCCATAGCCAGTTTGTGGCACGTCAGCTCCAAGTACTCACCTAAAGTGAGGAAGACCTCCTCTACGTTGTTTCCTGTCTTGGCTGACGTCTCAAAAAACATGAGTCTGTTCTCTTTCGCGTAAGTCTTGGCTTCCTGAGAGGGGTGACACGATGGGCAATGGATGAGGCAGCCAGGCTTCCGTGCTCCGCGAAAGGGGCAGAGTGACTCGTGTTCTCTCCAGGCGACCAGCAGAACAATAGGCTAAAAATTCTGAATCTGCTAAAGATTTTAAATCTGCTATTGTCCCTCCACACTTGGCAAGACGAGACGTGGGGGGGGGGGGGGGGGGGGCGGGCAATGCGCGTGACTCCACACCCCCTCTCCATTATAAAGGAGGATGAAGCACATTGACTTAATTTAAACAATAAAAATACACATTATTAAAATGACATCTATTGTTAAAGCATACGCCGATACAAAAAAGTCAAGTGATTGTCGATTCACCGCCGGATGAAGGCCTCCCCACAACATGTCAGTCAGTGGGGGTTGTTTGACCATACTTCACCACGCTGGTTAGTGTGGGTTGGTGAAGGGCGGGCCCAAGACTAATTCAGGTATAACTCATCATAATACATGAAATAATACTCTTTGTTTTTTTCGGTAAAGTCACGTCGGTAAAAAGTAAAATAAATGAAAACTAAATTAAATCACGACGTTTCAGAGGCAACACAAGCTTCCTTCATCAGGTGTAAAAAAGGCGCAGCAAAATAACTGTAGAGAGAGCTATTTGTGATGATAGACTGTTACATAGGGCAAGAGGAGGAGCCAGGGAGGACGGGCACAGCATGGGGGGTGTGGGTGGAGCCAGGAAGGTAAAGCTCCTGCTAGAGAACATCGGAGCCACGGATGGGGGGGGGGGGACGCGGAGCGGGGGAGAGTAGCAGTTGAGGTTTAACATGGTTAATCACATCTTTCCAATGATTGCTCAATTTGCATCCATCTTCTCGGTTGAAGTTATGTCTATATTTGTATATCTGTATGGCTTCATGGACAAATCTTTGGTGGTATCCAGACGGCTTGCAGAGTACCTTGGTATCGGAGAAAACAATATCATGATAACATGAAATAATGTACTATAGTTTACGTAGGTTGAAAACAGTGTTACTAAAAAAGAAACACTTGTGACCCGAGCCAAGGAATTGAACCCACGCCCTTAACACGTCAACAGAGCTGCATTTGTCCTCTCCCTTCGACTATGGTTCATCCACATCGTGGGTACGGTACTTATTTTCCCTATAAAATGTGCAGTGTCAACTTTGCCTCATTCCTGGCTATACCCCCACATTTATCCCCCACCCGCCCCCCCATAAAGCTCCCTTTCCCCCGGTCATCCGTGCTGTTCACTGCCTGCCCCTGTTCAAGTGTAGACTCAAGACTTTCCTTTGTTGCTCTGGTTATGACTGACTATATTACCTAGTAACTCTCTCTACGAAGTAAACATGCCCACTGTTTTTGTACAATGTCTTTTGTTGCAGTTGCATTTCGTCACGATATAAATCCACATTGCATTGTATATCCCCATCCTTTCTCCCATGCTCCCCCCCCCCCCCCCAATTATATTGGAGAGTCAGTCACTTGCCCCCCCGCCCTAAATTTAAATATTGTGTCGTCCCCCCTCCCCACCCCAGCCCACACCCCCACCGCCTTGCCCACAAATAGAACCCACCTCACATGGCACTCGCCTCTGCAGATGCAGGTCGGTCTTGTTCCCGGTCAGAGCAATCACCACCGCCGTGTTCACCTGCTTCTTGAGCTCCGTCACCCACACCTTGGCCCTCGAGAAAGATTCCTGCAGCATCGGCAACATGCACGGAGCCAAACTTCCACCGACCCCCCCCCCTCCCCCCCGCGAATCCACTACTGGATGAGGGCCTCCCTACGCCATGCTGGTCGTCGAAGGCTATTTTACCATACTTCACCACACTGGTCAGTGGTGGTTGGTAAAGATAGGGAGCATAGTTGTGGGAGCATCAAAGTACGGTGCAACAATGGATGTTGCTACATAGGCCTGCAAGCTATATTTACAAACTATGTATGGTGGTTACTCATTCAAGCACTACCCAAGGCTCGACTTGGTCAAGTCCAAAGTATTCGCGAGCTGCGAGCATACATATAGATAAAAAAAAGCGTTTTTCATTCAAATGCATAAACACAGCATGAGCCAAGAAGTTGAAGCATCATTATTGGTGCAGCCTATTGAGGAGGAGAGTTGGTTCAAAGAAGTGAGACGTTGGGATGATACACGGTGGGGATTAAGGGAGGAGAGAGGGTGGTGTGAGAGGTGGCAAGGAGGGGGAGGGTGATAAAGTGATACGTGAGTTTGATAGTTCAAGTATGGATATTAAAATGGGTACAATAGAAGTCTACCTTGACATCTATCCTCATCAAAATGGTAGCATCTTTGAAGAACCACCCACCGGATGTATTGGACAACTCATTTTACACCATTCTCAGCGGCATAATTGATCCTGGTGTGAATTGACCCCGGTGTAAGGAATAACGTTTTCCCGTACCTCCGATTAGCACGGTTGGCGATGCACGGTGCTAAAGAAGTTCAACAAACATACATACAAGTGGGGCCTCCTCGTCCAATTTCTCTTTTCGTCATAGCCCCGTGCCTGGGCCTCTCTGGCCCACCCGTGGGCTTCAGTGCAGTTGCACTGCCTGCACGCTCAATAACTACAACATTGGGCACTCTACCATCTGAATAATCAAAATTATTAATGATTAAATACATATCTTGTCATTCCACTCCTTTTTTATCTCCTCCATCCATAACTCATGGAAATGTAACTTTAACATTCCCCTCTCACATGAGTCTTTTAATGAGCACGATCTGATATCGCTGGTCCATGACTAATGTTATGATTTTGCTTTTCTATATCTGCTGCTTGTAAGCACTTTGCCACTTAAAATTAAACACAGCATAAAAACATAACAATTCGAATATCTGAAAGCTCTAGCAGTGACGTTCACATGCTTCTATGTTCCAAAACAGGACAGAGTAAACCCAAAAAGGTTAAGAATATATTGCGAATATTTTCTCGGCAGCATCCATCTGGGTTACATAACAAGGGTGTAATTTAAGACTTGACTGCATGATAAATCGATGCATGAAATCAAGAACCATGTTCATAACGGAATTGTGTACACTGTATCCACAAATCAGAGAAAGGCTGGAATGACACAGGCAATGGGTGAATTTTTGTTGGGGGCTGAAATAAATTGGTTGGGGAAGCTGAAATATTTGTTTTAATGTATAACCTCTTTACAATCCCAAAGTGGAAGAAGACCTCTCCACAGCAAGTGTTTTATTTTTGTTACCATACTTCCCTGCGCTGGTCAATACGGATTAGTGAAAGGGGTGTTTAAAACCGGTTCAGATATCACTTTCGCCGTGGCCAAGAATTGAACTCGGGTTGTCCTGTTCATCGGACATGGTGCCACCGCTCCATGTATATATTTAAATAAATAAAATACTAAAATCTTGAATGAATGCCAAGGCACGGATTCACCATTTGCGTCAGCCTGCCACGTGCGCTCCTACTGGTGACCTTGTGCTGTCTCATCTAGTCCGGCTTCCAGAGGTTTTGCAGTATTGGCTGTGTTTGAATGCAATGATGTTAATAGATTCGAGGGGGTTAAGCCCTGTTGGCACTGGCCACCCGTCGCCCATAATTATAATTAAACAGAATGGGTATCGATCTGATCTGCTATTGTCTTATCATGCATTCTGCTCTGTCCCTCGCCTCCTCTATACATGAGGAAAGGCTGAAGAAAAAAAATACTGCTGGTTTCAACATTGCACCGAAATTTTCTTTGACTTAGAATTTAGACGGGAGGAGTGAGCCTTGAAGCAGGGGCGGCTGAACCCCCGCCCACCCAGACAGGCTGTGACAACCATCACACAAGCGCCCGGCATCACCATGACAATAGCTATGCGGACACTCACCTCGTCCGTGATGTCGTAGACAATGATGGCTGCCTGCGCACCGCGGTAGTACATGGGCGTCAGGCAGTGGTACTTCTCCTGCCCGGCGGTGTCCCAGATCTCGAACTTCACGAGGGCTGAGTCCAAACACACCGTCTGGCTCTGGAAGGCAGCTGCCATGCCGCGTGCGAGAGGACACAACCACTGACAACGTTTGTATTTTTATATTTATATACATAAAACATACCCGCACGCAGCGCACCCACGTAGTGTCCTGGCGGGAGTTGCCTCACACATCGGGTTTTAATCCGAAGGGCCCCGAGGGGGACAGTCCCACGGTTTCCCGGTGCCAGGAGATTGGCAGACCCCCACAGGACAGGTTACATTGCGGTGCCCCTAAATTGGCTTAAAATTGTATGGGCGCAAAAAGAAAAGGTTCCCTGGGCCAACCGCAATGAGTTACACACAACATTGGGGGGAGGTTAGAGGGTGGAATATTAGGCATAAAAGAGCAGACCCTAAGACGCGAACTACTGGACACGGGAGATCAATGGGTGGGAGGCATAAAGAGTGGACCCGAAGGCTATAAATAAAGAGCTAGACCGAAAGCTAGGACGACTGGGCACGAGAAAACAATGGGTGGGTGGAGCGGCAGCGAGAGTATAAAGGTGGAAGCCCCGGGACGATTGAGGCAGTTGTCTACAACCTCCGGGCCGTCACGACCCACTCCCTGCCTGCCGTCCTGCCTCTTCAAGCCGCTCACAGCATCCGTGTGATGCCAGCGAGTGCTGCTGCGAGACAGTGATTGGGCAAGTCTTCTCTCGTCCTTCTCCTTCCAACACTCTCAGCGTCCGTGGGACACCGCGAGTCCAGTTTCAAGGCACGTGGCAGGACGTTTGAGTAGCTGGGTTCATAGGCAGAGTTACGCTCGGCTCTCCTCGCGAAATATTCCTCCTCCGGGTAATGCGTATTGGCGCCATTAATAAACTCTCGCACAGAATATCGGTGTAGCGTGATTTCTGTGTGTGTGGGCAGAACCTCGGCGTAGCGTCTGTGATCTGTGTGTGTGGCATGTCTGCTGTGGAGAGACGGTGTGCCCGGTGTGAGCGCATGGCTGCAGCGTGGGGGTGGTGCGAGTGATTTGAGCGTGCGCGTGAGGCGCGTGTACTGCAGGACATACGGCCGCCGTCATTTGCGAGTGCTTGTTTACACAGCGCGCACTTTACGCAGCGCGTTTACACAATAGAAATAGCGTTACCGGTGAGGCGTGCCCCACGCCTCACCGGTAACCGGTCAGTTTTGGTGCCAGATAAAAGGGTAAAAACCTATTACTATATCTTGCGACTGGCAAAGGAGGTTTCATAGTGTAAACTAGTTTTGTTGTCGGTAAGGCAAGACTCGTGTCGCCACGCGGTTTTTCCCACCCCGGGGCAGTGATGGGACCCCAGGGTCCCGCCAATTGCTTCATATATTAATATGTTTTCAGACAATAAGCGTTTGTACATATGAAAGGAAACCCATGCGTACTAGTGGGGCAACACTCTATTCCCGTATAGATGGAAAAATATGAATGAACTGTTTGAACTGCCATCTCCTAGCACGCAAAGGGCATGGCAACCTTGATACCCACAGAAATGGAGTTTCTCGACATTTGTGTGATCTGCCAAACTTCACCTCCGCAGTGCTGTATTACAGGCCTGTGCCACCACTGCCTTCGAGCACCACGACTGGGCGCCTATATCTTCACCAACTGATGTTTAAGCACTGAACCAGGCACTCATCAAAGGCTAACTCAGCCTTGGGGAATCCCCAGGACCAGTTCAGATAAATCACAACTGATCTTAGCCTTGGGAGTCTGGTTTGGCTGCCACCTTCAAGTCCTACTTAACATCATTCCTCTTTTAGGAAGCCACTTCTCACCCTCCCCCCACCCCCATTATCAGTGATGTAAAGCACCGTCATATTTTACCATGAAAAGCTCTACTATATATGCTGTAATTCTTCTTCTTCTCCTTGTCATTGGCCGGAAACGAATGCGGGTTGCTGAATTCATCGTGCAGTGCAATAACTGTTATGGTATTGCTCAACATAAAATGTGGATTCGGTGGAATACAAAGACAAATATCCCCCATATAGCCTTGACAGACTGTTGAGGCAAGTTGGGGTTAGCAAGCACCTATGAAGGCCGGCATTGCACACGAGGGGGTGGGTAGCCAGCACCACACCCGACCGCTTTGTCTCTACAGTAGCAATGTTTACACATTGCACCAGGTACTCATTTGAGGCCGAGTCGATTTAGATTAGGCCCAGGACCGATTCAGATAATCGTCACCGGTGTTGGCCATAAGCGGGGCTAGAACTTGGGTTGCCGGTTTCCTGGCGCAATGCCCTCATCGTTGCGCTACCGTTGCCACAACACACAAACACACGCGTTGAATTCACACGGCCGGCACTCACCACCGATGGTGCTCTGGAGGTCATCGGTGAACTGGTCCAGGACGTAGCGCACCACCAGGCTCGACTTGCCCACCTGCTCGCGCCCCAGCAGAACCAGCTTGAACTGCAGGGCCTTCCTGGTCGAGGCTGGTTGGACGGTCAGCTGGCGACCCCGAAGGCTCGAGGTCATCTGGTGCCTCAACGAGACGTTGGTCCTCTTCTGGCCCATGGCTTCAGCGAGTGGGAACTTCTACCTGCAACAAACGCGTGAAAGTCTCCTTGCATAATTAGTCAAGAATGAGCAAGAGAGGGTTTTAATGCTGAAATAAATTATTAAAGCGATAGCTAAAGTAGAGAAATCACTACGTGTTTGTGACCTAGTTCACAGTGTAGCTGGCCAAATAAAATCAATCTGGCGAAGAGTGGCATTATAATACATAATACAGGTTTTTTGGGTTAGATCGCATCAATATAAATGTGTCGTTAAACCCGCCACCACCTGACACACCCAATTAGTAAGGTTTGTCACGTAAACAGAACATGCCAATTCCTTATTAGTACAGCACACCGGTGTGTTGGAGAGCAAATCCACAACGATTACAATCTGAGTACGACGTTTCACCAGTAATTACAACCGAAGTGGGGGGAGGGGAGGGAGTAAAAAATGCATGTAAATGACTATGGGTTATCCATTGCCGTTTTGGTTATGGAAATGGTAATCAACGCACATTATACTTGTAGGAACCTACTTGTATAATGTGCATATGTTTTTTGTTTGCATTTTGACTGCAGGTATTGTGGTTAATGCAGACATGAATCCTTGTAAAAAGGTTTCAGTTTTGTTGCCAGAAAAAAGGGGAACAACCCTATTATTAAATCCCTTGCCAATTGGCTGTCGGGTGGTGGCGTGTTTAACGACACATTTATATTTACGCGATCTAACCCCCCCCCCCCCCCCCCCCAAAAAAAACCTGTATTTTGGATATTTGTCGCGAAAGCCTACGTGTTAAACTGACATAATAGTGGGGTAATTCCACACAAGGATGCCATCTAACAGACGTTTGACCGCTCTGCGATGAACTCGAACCGTGTGTTCGGTAGGGAGTCCGATGTTTTCACTTCACGCGTTTCGAGATTGTTCCTTTCTTAAAGAAGCTCCCAGCATGTGTTGCGAAACATCGGACATCATTTCTAACATCGCACGGTACAACAAGCGAGTGGTGCGGTGCAGCAAGACGGCTTAGAAATCCTATGCAGTTGACATTTAACAGACTTTCACCAAAAGCAATGACGATAGTTAAAGGCAACAAATTCAAAGGACGCCTACTGAAAATGTGTGGACTGAATGTGGCTTTAAGGTTGCTGGATTGAAGTTTTTTGAGTAAATTGTAAAGAAAATACTGCAACGAAAGCAATACCAACTGCTCGACCGAGGCAGCATTAGACGGAGGTTGTGGCCGATGGAACCAAGCGGCCTCCGTTCACAGCTGCAAGGGAGAAAAGAAAAAGGAAAATTCCACACTTTTCTACTTTTCAACATTTCTATGGAAACGCAAATGTTTTTTTTTTCAAATTACACAGAAACACAACGTGTACATGACCGCACGCTAAGTCAAACTGTCAATGTAAAAAATTCCCAAAACATCGGCACACCTTAAAATAGCCCAAAGCAGTTTGTACAGCAGGTCGCGTACAGTCACAACACCGTCACACAATTCACTTGGCACTGGGCACCATTCATGGACAATTAATTGACTTGAGAAGAAATTAACCGGCCAAACAATGGCATGGAGACGATGACTTTTTTTGACGCAGGAAAGCTGCTGCTTAGTCACCGTACCATGAACTTCACTTGAAACGAAGTTACTTAAATACGTTGCCTCAAAACTTATTTTTAAAACAAACAGGAACTGAGAACTTCCTTGTTTGAGTGCCTTATCCAGCGCAGCACGGGCAGAGAGGGTCGACTGCGCACGCTCGCTCGCTCGCTCCAGCTGGGTCAAGGGCACCGTCCTACTGCTCAGCCACGGCGAGCAAGAGACAGGCGAAAAACACAGCTCACCTGGGAAGGGTCTCCGAGGACGGTTGATCGAGAAGAGAAACACCAAGTGGAAAATAACAACAAAAAAACACGAGCATGCACCCACATATACACCGCTGGCTGCGCCGGGCTGGTACCCTGGTGTGGTTTCCGAGAATGGCTTCCTTATACCGAATAGCAAGCGACGTTGCAATTTGAACGGTGAGGTCACAGTGTATTGTAAAAGCACAAACAGGACATTTGTACAGGCACACCCACGCCAGACGGCTTGACGTGGACAAGACCGACGGCTACACAGCAGCGAGAGCGCAGTCCTTTTAATGTTTCATGTCATTTATTATCTTTTTTTTACTCGCCACGGTCAACGCAACAATTGATGCCCGCACACGTACGCCACATTACACACTGTACAACGTCGCTCACAAAGACTTTACAGACTCATACGTGTTGCATTGCAGGTGCTCTGCTAAAATTGTTTGGAAAACAATATTTATCAAAACATTTTTTTTAAATGTAATGTCGATTTAGAAAATCCACAGTCCGTCAATTGTAATGTTGGCCCATACCGAAATTTGTTTTAAAAAAAATGTGCACGTTCGTGTTGTTTGATGCTGTCTACGTGAATTAGGGTCAACAGCAAGAAGTACTCTCTGGCTCGGCTGCCGATTGCACCGTTTGCTCTAAACGGACAGCGTTGCTCGACTGGAGTCTCTGCGAGTCTTCTTGAGAGCTCCTGGGCAGTTTGCTGGCTGTGGGTGCGAGAGGAAGGAAACAACACCATCATCAAATGTGCAGGGTGGTGCAGATGTCTCTAAAACTTCATTAAAAAAAACATTTTAAAGTAAGATTTATTCAAAACAGAAATGAGCATGCCAAGAAAAATAATGTTAGGGTCAATTAATTGGGGGGTCACACAATATCTGGATCACCCTCTACACACTCCGTCATATTTTGCACGTACCTATGTCACTTTTTTTTTATTACATAGTCCATGGGCCAGAGAAGACTTTGGTATCATCTATTAGCACAATATTAGCAGGACATAATGAATTACATGGCAAATGTGAGCGAATTACTTGATAACCCACTGATTTCAAATGGTTATCACGCAATTCACTTTTATTGGCCACATAAAGACATTGGGACCACTAAAATGAAGCCAGTTGGGGAGGTACCGACAGGTGAAATATCTCGTATGGGCTCATGGACTAACATGCTTGAAGGAAAGAATAATGAAGAAAATAAAGAAGAAATAAAAATAACATTTTAAATTAAAATTGTAGTCATGAGATGCCTAATATAAAAGCTAAAGGTGCAACCCTGCAATTCTTTGCTCTTGTCATTACTCGTAGAAAGGCATCCACAAATCAATCATTGCCCCCTGCTGGCAGACTTATGCCCCTAACTGGCAAACACACATGGATCTTGTACTGGTTATGAAAACCTCCGTTTAACGTGAGACTCCATGTCCTTTCCCAAGCTAAGGTGCTGAGTCATCTATTGTCCAGATCAACAGCCGCCACTGCACAGCCCCAAACACAGCACGAACTCTCTCCTGAAGTCGTTGCTAGCAGACCTTGACATTTGCATTAAAGCTCATGAACATATCGCCTTTGCGCAAGAGATAGAATGTACAGCCCATTGTCAGTCCACTGCTGGATAAGCCCCACCCCCCATGCTATGTTGGTCGTGGGGACAGTTTAAGTGTCCTCACCCATGCATGTCAGTGTGGGTTGGTGAAAGGGTGGGGGGGGGGAAGTGAGGGAGGGGGGGGGCAAGGGGTGAAGTGGGGGGCAGGACCGGTTCACGTAATTTCGAGTTTCCATATGTGGAAACACCTTGACAGCAATCTGTGAGCACAATTCGAACATATATAGAAGCAACGGAAATAAAACACAAGGGAAATCAACCGGTGTAGAAAATTACGTGTGAAATGGGTTAATAACTCTACCCTGCTCTCTTCATGCAGTTTATATCTTCGTCAATAGCCGTCCGAGGTATGCATCACAGTGTGACAAAAGAAGAAGTTCATCATCAGTTTACATTATACTCTGCTATTTACATGTGGACCTGAAACAAGGACACTAACAAAGAAAGAGGAACACATTATTCTTTTAAGTCAAAGAAACATGAGAGATTATTGTAAATTATGCCGAGAAACATTGGGAGGGACACATGGGTTAGACAATGTATGCAAGTTAATGACATCATATGAACCGTACTCTTTGGGTCTTTCGGTAAAGCTACGTAGATATATATAAAATAAAAGAACAATAATATCAGGACGTTTCGATCGCAACACAAGCAATCGTCACCTGATGATAATATCACGACGTTTCGATCGCAACACAAGCAATCGTCATCAGGTGACGATTGCTTGTGTTGCAATCGAAACGTCGTGATATTGTTATTAGTATTTTTTCTATCTACGTGGCTTATTGAAAGACCCAAAGAATATGAATTCCTGCAGTCACGAAAGCTTTAAGTCAAGATATAATACTAACTCTTAAGAAAAGTAAGTGGGCTTGGGCAGGACGTGTCATCAGAGGAGATGATGGCTGGTGGTCGAGACCAACAACAGAGTAGCAGCCAAACGAGGGAAAGGAGAGGAATCTATTTCGGCGATGGACTGATGAAATCAGCTCATGTGCAGACGCTAGATGGATTGTTACATCGCAAGACCGTGAGAGAAAGTGATGTATTGGGGAAGAATTAATGCAGCAGTGGATAAATCACGGCTGATGCTATTGCTGCTTTCGGATGATGATGATGAATAGGCAGTGGCAGCACAGACCCAGGGCGTGGAAAACATCTTGCACGTTCATGGCAGTGAGGGCCGAAGTCTCCATGAAGAGGAGTCCCAGGTCCTCTGCGTACTGCTTGCCAGCCTGCATTACGCACGCACGCAGAAGCATTGGGTACAATTTGGTGCGGGACGTCTGGTCACTTTAAGCTTTAATGTACACAGCCCTTTGTCCATCCACTGCTGGAAAGCCTCCTTATTGCCTTGTGCCGGCAGTCAAATGCCGTGTCGGCAGTCAACTGACAAAGGGCTGCACCTGTAAATGTGCATGTCATATTGCAATGGGGGATGTCAAGTCCAAGAACGTGATCATATAATAGGTCATACAGTGTGTACCACCCTCACGTGTATATATATAATAATAATAACTTACATTCCTTTGTCGAGTCACTGCTGGATGAAAGTCTCCCTGCGTCATGAGTCATGGGGGTTGTGTGACCATACTTTACCACGATGGTAAATGTGGGTAGATGAAAGAGGGGCCCATGACTGGATTAGATATCACTCGCCACTGACGTCAGTGGTGGCTGGGAATCAAATGTATGTAGCCGGAGTTTAAGAGTGTAATGCGCTCACCACTCTGCCACCGTTCCACCCTGGAGTTTTAATCTTGGTCACATATATCTTACATTCATGGGGACACACACAGTGTCATCAGATACCACTGGAGAGGAGGACGACGTGTGGAGACACTAGTGCAGTACCGAAGCAATCGAGGGAAATGGAGTGTGCAGGCGGTGCAACTGCACCATGACTCACGGGCCAGAGGGGCCCGTACGCCAGGCTACGAAGAGATCTGGGGGGGTGGTATTGGACAGGGGGCCCCATGTCGTTCCTTGCCCCAGAGCCGATGCCAACAACGGTACGCCACTGTGCATGGGCTAGATTAAAACAGTGCATTAAGAGCTGTGCCAGGTGTGATTATGAAAGTATAATATTAAATTTATTATTGACGAGGATATCTGACAGCAAGTGCCCTCTTTTTTTACATCCATTAATAATTTGGGGGATGTGTGGAAAACACATTTTTCCTTAATTTGCAATCCTTTAGAAGGAGGTAGAACTGGAGCAAAATAAATATTTGAAACTAAACTTTTCGAGAAGCGACCTGGCCACAAATGATAGCTCAACGAAGTGCTTATCATGTGAAAATTTATAGCAGCCAAATACTCTAATCAAATATTTCTAAATGTGGAGGGAAAAGCCGAAGGACCCAGACAAAAATGCACACGGGGAGAACATACAGACTCCAAATATACAGCAAGCGTCAGGGTCGGGATTGAACCCACGACCTCCTTCATACCAGGCGAGGGAGTTAACATCTGGCCACCATGGCACCCAAAATTAGTGGGGAGGGTGGCCAACACCATGCCTGACCGCCTTTTTCTCTCCAGTGCAGATCTTTACAGATTGCACCAGGTATTCATTTAAGTCTGAGTCGACATAAGGGAGACCCAGGCCAAATTACAATACTGTAATTAACACTGCTATTGGTCGTGTGCAGAAATCGAACATGAGGTGTCCGGTTTGTAGTACAGAGCACTAATCACTGCTTCTCTCTCCTACAAACACACAAACACAACAAGCATTAAGTGCACCATCACGGCCATCCACTCCCAGTAAAGTCAGGATGTTATAAATACTTTCCAACTAAGGTTGAAAGTATTAATACTTTAGCTCTGTCTATATCTATTAAACCCGGCCAAATCAATAGAAGGGGTGTCAAAAACATGGAGGCACAAATATGAAAATAAACTTTGCCCTGATAGCTACCCATCAGATTCCGTACTGCTACTAAAATACTTCCAGGGACAAACACATCTTCAAAAGCTTTACATAATCCATGTTCATCCATGCTTTGTCATCCTTGTTTTGCAACCTTTCTGAGTTCAATATCCCTTGACAAGTCCGCAGGCTACCGCACCGTGCTGAAGCCACTGTCGCCTCACCTCGGTTTCCAGGTCCCTCCTAGCTTCCAGGTCTGCCTTGTTACCAGCGAGCGCAATCACGATGCGTGGAGGTCCCCTCCTCTGCAGCTCTTTCACCCACTCCTGAGCTCTGACAAACGTATCCTGCATACCCAGATAAACGGTGGCGCGGCAGCACAGTGGTTGGCACACTTCACCGGCGTGTTGTCGATTCCTGGCTAACGACTAACATCAGTAGGCAGGCAAATGCCCGATGAGCCGGTCCATTCCAAGGGCCGGTGGGCTGGTCTGTGTTGGGGAAATTGCCAATAATGCTCAGTGTAAAACAAATGCATAATATATTGTTTTGTTAAAATATTTGTTACCTCTAATGTGTACACTTCATTGATTATGTATGCTCGCAGTTTGCATTAAGTTCCATATTC